GACGAAGTCGACAATAACGGTAATTTTTTTCACAGCAAGCGGGAATACAAAATACATTAATAGTAAAGTTCAACGTAACAACTGCTTACAACGTTAACGTTTCTATATAATTGCTAACCGGAATTTAAATCTAAATTTCTATAGCTACATACAATTATCATTTTATATATATATATATATATATATATATATATATATATATATATATATATATATATATATATATATATATATATATATATGGCTTTCTGTTTTAATTGTTTAGTTCTCATATAATATACATTTAATTTTTTAACACTCAGTTGATTTTAGACACAACTTACAGAAGAGAATTAGGCTGATAGAAAAAGCTTTATCTTCCACCGAAAACGCGCAAAATACGACTGAAAATGTTATGTCGGATATAAAAAAATGGAAAGATAATCTAGTTACAGAACAAAATGAAATAAGGAAAAAAGTTGAAGAAATATCTAGCACACAAAATGATAGTTTCAAAAAACTACAAAAACAAATTAATGAACAGAAAAATACCTGTCACCAATTGGGTAAGGAATTTGAAAGCATCACTGAAATCAAGCAATGGAAGGAAAACTGTGTATCACACCAAAGCAGTATTGGAGCGAAGGTTGAACAATTGTCTAAGAAACAAAAACAACATTTTAAAAATATTAAAAAACAAGCGCAGGAAGGGGAAAGCAACATTGCAGAGATGAGAAAAGAAGTTGATTGTTTAAAGGAAAAAGAATTAAAAGTGATCAAAAGACTAGACACATTTGACATTATATTGAACAAAATAAATAAAGAAATAAAATCGCATGCTGATAACACTGATCAATTGGCACAAAGAGTTAAACGCTTAGACGTGGTTTCCGCTGGACCGAAAGATGGAAATATACATGTAAATATCGCTTTGAAATTATACGTAGATTTTCAAACATGTGTACTTTTTATTTTTTTAATGTGTATCAATATATGATCTCAGATTTTCAACATAACGTTGTAAATTTCCCTTTACATATTACTGTCTGAAAAAGGAATCTTATAATGAATCATAACTAATTGATGTTTCGATTTGAAACTTTTAATTCCTATTAGGAAATAGCGGTTGTATAACATTAAGTTAACTTACATTACATTTGTGTAAACTTTATTGACTATGTTGCTAGCTTTATGTGATGTTTCAACTCCTACATAAAAGACTGATGCCCATTGAAAAATTGATTGACATATTTAATCAGAATTCGAAACATAGGGCTAATAATCAACAAAAGTTAAGTATTTTTTTAACTAGTTAGAAATTACATGATTAAAGACCATAACGCTTTTAATATTGAAATTAATGGATAGAAAATGCATGTAGCAAAATAACACTCTTTCTCGGTCATTAACCATTACAGTTGAACATTTGAAATAAATTAATATCCATAATACTTTTAGATATGTCTTCTAATTAGATACTGTTTTTATCAATTCAGATTGAAACCCTCGAAGGTGATGTTCTAAAAGTGTCCAATGAAATGCGCACAACAAGTAATTTTTGTTTTTATAAAATTTGATAAATAATAAAATTGAATAAAAAGAAACATGAAAACCTGAAATACCAGTTCATTTTAATGAGTTATTGTGCGTTAGTTTTTCATTTTGCATAAACCCCAAATGGTAAAATAATACTTTACATCACATGAATGCATCCAATTTGTTTGGTTGATATTATTTCAAATACTGTCGTCAATTTTTTACAATGTGAGACAAACAATAAATAAAATATTATTTTAGAGTGCATTTTACATTATTTCTCTCAAATTGAAAACACAGTAAAAACAATTTTGTACCCTTGCAAAAATTACGAACGCTCTAATCATCAAAGATGTGAACTGCATTAAAAAAAAACTATATTCTCCTAAAACACAGGACAAGAAATTAAAAGCCATTTTAGTTTGCTTTCCACCTTACAAGAAGCTTGGAAGAAAAATGTAGCAACTACGTCCAACACCCTTCAAATTTTAACTACAAAGGTAACAGCTTACATTTTAAGGGAATATTTATTATTTAACTACATACTTCTATTTACAATTATAGTGTATAATGTTATTCCTAACAGTCAATAAAGTGCGTGATAATTGATAAATTAATGTACTTAATGCATGATAGGATTGGAAATGTTTGATATACACTGACACTTATTGCAACTTCAGCTTTAAATTACATATTATACTTTATTACATTTTACATTTGGTAAAAATCATTACAGTATTACATCATTGCTAATGTAATATACATTCTTTTTATAAATTTATAATTGAATTTTTAGTAGAAATGTATTCCATTGAAATATATTGTTTATATAAAATTATCTTTATCATTGTCTATCCTTAACAAACACATTAAGCATGTGTAATTTATAGGAAAACATATTTTCTTTTGTTTATTGTATAAGCAGCCTATTTTAAGGGAAGATTTGGAACAGTGAGCAAAATCTTTATCCAGATTTTGACAGAACTCAACATGTACATTTTTCGCAATGTTGCCTGTATTTACATGATTAGTTTCTATTCAGAGTTTACCATTAATTGATAACGATTTCAGTAAACAGGTCGAGTTAGTGATGGCTATTTGGGGCAGATACTTTTGTTTTTAAACGATTTGAAACTAAGGAGAGGTAACAAGTTCTGCTTTATCTTTCATTGTCGCCTGTAAACTGTCGTCACGGACGGCTGATTTCACGATTCGGGGAGGGGGGGGGAGAAAGAGAGGGTGAGGATAATCGTCCTTCACGAGCTAATGATAGTGTTTTAAAGTTAAATTCACAAATTAAGAATTACTGAAATGTAGAAAATAAAACATTCAAATAACGGCGTACGCCGCGGGTAGGCTCGTTGATAATATATTATTTACTTTAAAATTGAATCGATTTCGATATGATATATTATTTATTGAATATTGTTGTTAATATTTATAAAGTATTTATTTATATGTTATTTAAACAGTAATAACAAGTACTTTGGATAAATGAATTATGCTTAATTATCTATGAATATTTTTCTTTCATGTGTTAAAAAATAATATAATTTTAGATCGCCGGTCAAGGAAATGTTGTTTCAAGGACAGCTGGTAAGCAAAACAATTTCTTTTAGATTTAAGATTTTATTTGATTATTTGAATGTTTAAATTTTCTACAGTTACTAAAGACTTTTCAGTAACCTAGTTATAGCGATCTAAATGAGAACAATATGTGTGCCCAATCAGGTATTAAAAATTATTTAATATTTTTGAAATAAACATAATTAATTACCTCCTATTAAAGGAAAATTCAGGTAATTTTAGCCCGCGAAACACATAACAATAAGCTGCTCAAGTAAATCTTCTGTAATGTTGTCTGTATAGTCATTGGAACAATTTACTAAACCTATGACAAAGAATACTAGTACTAGATATAGAAAAATACATTCTTTAAAAAACCACTTACAATAGCATATAGAAAGAATCAGAACAAAGAGATTTTGAAAACCAAACAACATTTGTTTCCTAGAAATAAAAATTGAAAGCAACGACAGTCAAAAGAACTTAAATATAGAAATAAAGAAGCTTGAATGTTGTTTCGCTGCCTTAGAGTCTACATGATACATAAAGACTTCTTTTGTCACAATATATGCCCTTTAAGTAGACCACAGTAGATGTTAGGAGCTAATTTTACCTGCAAAATATGAACATAAATATAAACCTATTGAGTTGGCTATCGATATGTTGTATCGCGTTAAGTAAAATGTCATGCGAGCATATAAGGGCACTGTATTTAATAGAGATGCTAGACTGAAGACACATTTTAGACATGTGAGTTCGAATTGAGAAAAAAGACAAGAAACACATAGTGTATAATACAGTTTAAAAAACCTTACAATGAACAAGTATGTAATAAAATATATGTTTTTAATATAAATATGGTAATCTTTGCCACTCTTTTAGAAAAGCTTATAATATAAATTATTTCCATCCATCAGAGACTTGTGTATACAAACGATACGCTTGCCACATCCAACTTGAATACACGACAGCTGTCACCAGTGACTCAATTATTTCAAAGTTTGGTGAAGTACATGAATACAACGGTCAACACCTGAACCAAACAACAGGGAAATTTGTATCACCACATGATGGTTTATATCTTGTCGGTGTCACTCTACATGAATGGGAGAAGAAACTGATTGAAGTTGTTGTGTGTGTTGAAGACACGGAGTGTGAGAGTATTGAGGTGAAATATGCCAACACTAGCGCTGCTGGGTCAGTGGTTGTTGACATGAAGGAAGGTCAAGAACTCTACTTTTATGTGGCTACAGCAGACTATGACGCAAAGTTATCCTGGTTCAGTAGTTTTACTATAGTCAGTTTATAGATTTAAAGCAAGAAACATGGTCTTCTGTACGTTCTGAAAGAAACGTAACCTCTATGTTAATGACATAATAATACAATATTTTTTCAAGAATTACTTATTTTTGCTTATGTTTAATAGATGTACAAACTAATTGATTTTGTAAAACTGCTAAACTCTGCGTTGTGTGTATAGCAACAAAAAACTGTAAGGTGGAGGGAAGCTGCTAAATTGTCGTCTCTATACATTCCGTACTGTAAACACGCTTGCTCTGAATTTTCATTTTATTTTGTTAAAAAAATGAGTTTTTGTGTGATTAAAAATAGCATGTAAAAATAAATGAGTTTATGTTATGAGTAGTTATCGTGAGGCCAACATTTGGGTATGGATCAACACTAAAGCCGCCTGGTAATTGTATAGGACTTTTATTTATACAAACGACACACAAGCACACTACACGTCGTAGTACCCCGGCCTTTTATCTCTTATGATACACAGTCTTTAGTGGTCTTGGTTGGTCGGCTACGGGTCAACCTGATGTGTAGACTTAGGGTTAGCTTTCCTGACCACTCTCGTACATGTTATGTAAATGTCTATAATAGTAACATTTCATAAACTTATTTATAACAATATTTTATCTTTAGGGGAAACAACTGTGCTTACAGATTAGTAAAATATCTTAGCAATTAGGTAACTACTAGCCGTCGGTATCCGGCACACGGAAAGTAAGGGCCTATATATTTTTAACGTTATACTTGTTTGAAAAAAAATATTTATTTGTCAAAACGCAATGTGGTTTACTACACGTTGAACGATATGAGTGACAAAGCAAAGAAATAACTAAATAGCTAAACATCCGACAGTTTTAAAATAGCATATGCTACCAATACCTATTTGAAAAACTAAAAACCAAATTTTATACGTTATTAGTTAACACAACACCATATTAAATGCACATACTGATTGAGAGAGTTAAATGATTTCGTTGGAAACCCGGCTGTTGAATGGTCATTATGTTTTTTTTAAGTAATTTGTTTTACTTTTGGCCGAGAAAATTGTATAAATTTCATAAATTTTGTCTTGATACGTAGATCTATATATCTAAATCAAATTTGAATGAAGAAGTTCATCTCTTCATATTATAAAACTAGAAGGTGAAGCAATCAGTGTTGTAATTTCCGTAGTTTAAACATATGACATGTAATGTCATTGTTTATTGCGTTCTTGTTACACCCATAAACACTGTTCCGGTTGAATAATTCAAAATTTGTTTCTACATTCGGATATGCATTTATTTTGATTTTCCTTCTTCGCATAAAATTTAGTTTATAGTCTACATTTATATATCGCTTAAGAAACTGATAACATAGCCTCCTAAAATATTTAGCGGACAGAGAGACAGAGAGAAGTGCGCACATGGGCTTTTATATATTAGGATTTTTTTTCTTCTATAAACAGATATACTAAATAATTTTACAATGCATATATCGGAATATAAGTCACCAATGACATTAGTTATTGTTTGATAAACCATTAAATTGTTGGAACATTTTTTTCAATAAAATCGAGGTGTGTGTTGTTATTTTTTGTTGTTGCTTATTAAGATGCTTTAAATTAAGCAATATATTGAAATAAAAAATTAAAACAATTAAACATCTGGATAGATTTCATGAAAATAAACATTTGAAACAACATATGTGATGAGAGCACCATGTTTGTTAATGCCCTAAATGGTATTAGGTGATGCGATCAGCACACCACAACCCTTCCTCCTTCTCGGTGCCTCTCATCTTAAATACACAATTGCTTTTATTGTGAGATTTTGAAATTTTACCCATCCTAAATGAAACTATTTACTCTACGCTGACGAAATCTAATTAATTATACACATGAGTGAATCTACTACAAAGAAAAGGGTACAGTTACCTACACAGACATACACAATATGCTGGCATGAACTCTGCATGATTTGACAACACCTTCACACAGTTGACATAACTAGTAAAGTCATATTATGTCTAAAATGTGTGATAAAACTATTGAAATGTCTCCTATGGTTATTTAGAAGATAAATTATATAAAATTCAGCTAAAGAGCGTTACAGTACAAAGTAAAAATACAACACAGACATCACTACATGTTAGAGGTAAATTAAAAGATTAACAGGACACTTTTTCATTGATTATGGTTATTCCTTATGTAGATTTGATATACAGCAATGTTAGGGATAAGTCAATGATATTACCTAACGAAGGTGGATTTGGCCTACGCACATTATAATGTATCGTTGTTTTATTAATTATAAATTAAATGCACGTAATAATCTTCTTAATTAACAAATTTCTTATATTTACAGTACATTACTTACACTGAATTATATGAGTTAAAACGTGAGTACTTCTACGTTTGTTATAGCGTGATTGGTTGAATTTATTTCACGTCATTAACGAGTATATCATGAATGCGAAATAGTCAAGGGAGAGAATTTCATAACTGTAAATAGCACTCATTGCAAAATTCGTAATGCTCTCCCTTATATCACATTTATATAAAAAAAGATTGAGGGTTTGAACTAATTTAATGTTTAGGGCTAGTATCAGTGACGTTACTAGGTCGTGAGACCCAATGCGGTAACTGTGGTTGTTACCCTGCCGACGCCAACAATTAAGTGTTTTCAGTTGGGTGTCATCCTTTCCCTCTACTATTTTCTTGTTGTTAACGAAGCAAAACTTTGTTTAGGTAATAAAAAAAGTTACAATTTGGAGTCACGCCTTAATTGAGTTAACCAAGTGCGAACCCAAACCTGTCTCCGCCTTGTGACGCTTCTGTCTTTGTTATTGGATGCATACATTTTTTTTCATGTAGAGCCTATTTAAAATTAAAATGAAGATTTCTGTCTAGACCTTGTAATTTATTGGGCTGAAGAAGTAGAGATTATTTGTTTCTTTACCTCAAAATGTGTAGGGGTGGTGTGGACAGAACTACGACCAGCCGCTTTTCCTTTCCCCAATATAAGTCAGGTACCCATCAGAGCTGAATGGACTAAGGGACGCCTTACAGTCACAAATCAGAACCGAGATCCGAGCTCGAGACATTTGGACAAGCAGCTAAACGCTCTAATATTCGACCATGTCGTTTCCCTTTAAAAGTTGCGTAAACAGGAAGACGCATTTGGTTTATAATTTTCAAAAAAAAAATCACAGCAAATTTGTTGTAGGTTTAGTATTTTATCACTTATCGTAAACATTTTGTCGTTTGTTTTGTCCTGGGATGTTTATTCCTTGAGATATTTTGTCTGAGATATTTATCTGAAATACTTTGTCATGTACCCACAAATAATTATACTATTTGACGTAATGCAACACTAAAGTTTTACTGGTTATTCCAATGTTTTTTATTTATTTTAATAAATAAACAAATAAGGCGTACACTATCATTTAATTAACAAACTAGTGTTGCAGTTCGCTAAAGTGTAAGAAATAATGTTCATTGTTTATTCTAATAAAAAAAGAATGTTAATATTTTGCTAGATTTTTAAACAATATGTTATATAGAGTTGTAAGAATTCACATTTGCTAAGTAATATTATGTACTATTCATGCAAACAATACAATGAATTGGTTGCCATGGAAAGTTGTAGTTTAAAAATGTTTAATTAACTCAGAGATATGTCTGCTGACCAAGAACCAAGAGACCGCCAATTAGATGACATCAGAGAGCTGGACCACAGCTCGTGACAGTGTAAGAGACAATGTCAGAAATTCGTAGGTCTGGAAATCTGTTATAGAATGTTCCAATATTGAAAAACGAATCAATTTGTAATTTACAATAAACGGTCTGGTTTTACAATTACTTAATTCAATTAAAAAAAAATTCTAAATTGGCACAATATACATTTTAAAAATGAATGTCATAATGATTTATTACAACTATTACTTAGTAATAAAATATATAATTTGAAATGAGATTATTAAAATTATATTTAGATAACGCTTATTTATTGCGTGTATCTTTAACCTTGTTTTATTTAAAGTTAATTTAATGTTATTATCATTGTTATAGATTTCCCGCGTTTACCGTATATTTTGTTTTCTCTTGTAATTAAATTAATGTCGAAAAAACTACATGTGTATACATCTTTTTACGACGTATCGAAACAAAATATGTTGAATATATCCTGATACTGGTAAAGATAACCAGCACAAAATACAAACTCAGCTTCTTAAAAACGGGGAAAAGTGTTACGAACATATTTTTTTGTTTAATAGTCGAATAATTGTATAATCCAACAATACTGAAAACACAATTAAAACATTTGTATGCATGTGAATCTTAGAAAATATTGTTTTTAAAAATAAAATCTGTTTAAAAAAGTATTATCTATGTAGATATAATTATTATCCCAAAATTTAGTTTTTCCTATTTTCTAAATAAAGTCATTACCTAACACATTAAAATATTTAAGTTACATCTGGAATATAGTTATTCTACCGTTTGCTACACATTAACAGTACAACTTCGACTTCTTTGTAGCTTTAGCTATATAATTAACGATTAAGAATTCTTCTAATATACTCAAGAGGTACAAACTACACTGTTGGACTTTTTTTTCAATGGTTTTTAGATATTCTAAAGCAAGTTAATCAATCCTTACATGCGGAATACATTTAATTTTAGTATTTACCATAATACAAGTTGTCTATAATAAAAAAAATTTCAATCGATTATTGTTCTAGTTATCGGTGATTATGCTAATTATCGGTCATCATGCTAATTGTGATATGGCAAAAATTGATAATTTCAACTCTCAACACGCATGTTAAGACTCAATTGTTTTTCACTTCGCCGTGGTGTAAAAAAAGATGTTAAAACAAGTAAGTCATTAGCATGTTTAAATCTATAATTTAATAATAGTGAAGCCACTTCCTCCTTGTAGCTTGGCTCCAACATCAGCTTGTTCCACTTTAAAGTAAAGTTCTTGGCCTTTCTTCATGTTTACAACAGCTGATCCAGCGGCAGATGTGTCGGCAGAGTTAACAAGAAAGCCCTTACAAAATTGATCACCCGTGTACAAATAAATTTTAATCAGTTTAGCCTCACGTTCGTGCAGCGTTACAATAACAAGATAGTTACCATCATCTGGTGCTACAAGTTTTCCTGTTGTTTTATTAAAATGGTTGCCGTTAGGCTCCCTCACTTTATAAAATGTTGAAAGAATTGATCCAGTAGTTACGGGTGTGTCTTTGTGCAGGTGAATTTGACAGAAGTAAGGCTGACATACCCGGGTTTCTGTTGGAAAGTATATGTTAGAGTTCATTTAAAAGCATGTGCACAAGTGTCTGTGCATCTGATCACAATTATGGGTATGTTTATTATTTAACTTACCCATTGTCTTAAAATCTTTTGACAGCTTTATAAGATCACTTTCTCGAGTTTCAACCTAAAATGTGTGTAAAATTTACAAATTATTTACAACATTATGTTCGTACAAAAATTCACACATCTGAAACATGATGGTCGTACATTATTAAAATAGTAAATTATTAAAATAGTAACCACCTTATTTTTATTTAAATAGCACCCAAAACAAAATTCAAAATTAACTAGTCACAACAATAGTGTGCTGCCTATATTTCACATTATGTTAACAATAATAACATAAGTATCAGTAGCTTAGAAAAGATGGGAATATGTCAATCGTAACAGATAAACAGGATACCTTTGTAGTTAAAGCTACTAAAAGGTCTGTTGTATTGGACATATTTTTCTTCCCTTCATCTTGTAGAGTTAAAGTCACAGCAGAGTGGCTTTTGATGTCTTGTCCTGTTTTTAACATCAATTATTAATCACGTTAAATAAAGTGATACACTCATATTTATTGCTGTTGAACGTTGTGTCCAAATGTTGTTGTGTTAAATATTGTATACAAGTCTCATTTTAAGTAATCGTTAGATAAAACATGACGGGGTTTGGTGGGGGCGGGGACAAATAGACTTAGGAAAGAAAGGGCGAGTATCATTTGACCGCCGTACGATTACAGAACATGTGTTTTTATTTTTCTTCTTCTATTAACAGTAACACGATAGATACACTTACAATATTGTATAATATGTTGAAACATACGCTTTTGTTTGTGCGTTTGTTTTGTCTGTATTTGCAATGCGTGTGACGATGACTGTTTTTCTATGTGTATGTGTGCAATTCTGTGTGTGTATATGTGTGTACACCTCTTAGCTCCAGAAAATATTCCTGTTTGACGCTTTGTTTTTGTTCCCAGACTAATTGTTATGTTCTTTCTCAACAATAAACCCTTCTGTGATTAGGCCATTTTAAGACAGAAAAACACACATTTGCATTGCTTTATATATAAATATATTATTACCAACTGTCATAGCGTAGACTAGTAGAGGTTACTGAGGACAGTGTGAACTTGACGGTAGACGATTTGATGCGAGGGTATTGTGCGCTTGTTCAATAAAATATTTGTGGCGTGAGTGTGACGTGAGCATGACGCGACAATGTACCGATGACGTAAGACGCAGCAGTGAAGGTAGTTGGGGGTTAGCCATAGTAGAAGACGAACGTATTTTGATATTGTGGAACAGATTTATAAGTGTGTGTTAATTAAGTTAATGTTATTTCATAAACGAAGTTTTTGACATTGTTAATTAGTGTAAATTGTTTTATTTCTTCATTCATATTATTTTGTTCTGTTGTATATGTGTCCCTCCATTGTTTTATATCTGTCACGTCAACTTCAGTTTTTTTACTCCTAATTTGCAGAGACAATAGCGTTGTTTCAAGACGTTCTACTCTCTGCTCTAGTTTGTTACTTAAATCAGCTGCAACTAGTCAAATTTGTTTATGTTAGCAAATTCTAAGAGAGGGCTACATAATCAAAATAAATCAAACTAAAGACAAAAGTAAAGTTATTACATTTAAACGTGGTGCGGATTATGCTAATGCATGCAATGAAGAAGTGGTGAACTGATATAATTATATATATATATATATTTATATATATATATATATATATATATATATATATATATATATATATATATATATGTATATATATATATATATATATTATAAGTATATGGTGCGCATAACAATTACGTTTTACAATTATTTCTTTTTTTTCGCTAACATAAATTAAAGTTATACCTGACATAGGAAGATCAGAATAATTTCCATCGTGTACAGAGTCAACACTTTTATTTTCTTGTGTTGTCTTATCTCCAGCAGTCATTGCTTGATACTTGGTGTAGGAAACTTTTAGACATGTGTGACAAATATGTTTTAAGGACTCGATTTACAATAGTAAGAATGTAAAAATATTTGAAAAGAATGCAAATTTATTTAAAAGCACACAATTTAAAATATAAAAATCAACGGCTTTTAAACGATATGTTTCCAACAAGAATATTTTGAATTTAAAAAAAAATAAACAATAGTTTTTACAAATATAGATGTATATTACAATACATAGGATGAAATGATTTTAAATGGACGACGTAGTCAATGAAGACAAAATGTATAATAATTAAAGTTTAGTGATGTATCGTTATCTTTACTGTATTTGTCGAATGTTTGATCGTTCTAAATTATTAATCAAATTTATTAAATAAAAACAAAAAGTAAAACTCCACTACATATTATAATATTACCAGAAATCGTTTGTTTAAGTTCAAGTGGGGCAGTATTTACTGTTGTTACTATACAAACAACTTCTTTAAAATCTATTTTTGCTTCTGATGGATTGTCCAACCATTCCAGTGTTGCTTGTTTTACCTGGTCATGACATAACATAGACAAGGATTGGCATATTTAAACGTTTAGGTGCTAGACATAACATAGACAAGGATTGGCATATTTAAAGATTAAAGTGCTAGACATAACATAGACAAGGATTGAAATATTTAAAGATTAAAGTGCTAGACATAACACAGACGAGGATTGAAATATTTAAAGATTAAAGTGCTAGACATAACATAGACGAGGATTGAAATATTTAAACATTGAGGTGCTAGACATGACATAACATAGGCGAGGATTGAAATATTTAAAGATTAAAGTGCTAGACATAACATAGACGAGGATTGAAATATTTAAACATTTAGGTGCTAGATTTGATATACTATAGATGAAGAACGGAATATTTAAACATTTAGGTGCTAATTATTTTAAAAGCAAAAAAATGGAAAGGCAAAATATTCATTATTGTTGTTTTGGGTGTTTTAAGTAATTCCACTACCATGTATAAATCTATTTACAGAAGGAATGTGGATGGAAAATGAATTTTCATATCACCAATTAGCAAATCATTTGCAATAATAAATAGCTCTTAGTAAAAAGCTTTGGCGTTTGTATTTCTTAAGCAGCTTAATAATGTTCTAGATAAGTTAAAGTCTTGCGAATACATCGCTATATGCGATGTGCTTACCTGCTGATCAAAGTCACTTAAATTATTTTCAAGAAACTTTTCATCTCTTCCAGATTGTTCAAAAGTTGAGCTAATTGCTCCTTTATAGGAATCGATACGGCCATCTGTATGAAAATATAAACTAATAACTTTAATGATGATTGTGTTGTTGTGTTGTTAGTTGCATCCAGCTCAATAAATTAACACGTTACATATAAAGATACGACTTTAAAAAAAAGTCTATGTGTAACATTTAACGGTGAAGGTAAAAAAAAACACAACACGTTTAAAAAAACCTTTTGAACATGATTAATGTTTATGTGTGTCACTAGGTTGGTGTTTAAAGGACGGATCAGATTTAATGTTGGTGAGCAGGGTAGTGCATAAATATAAAATTATATAATGAAAATTAAATTTCTTACCTCAGCGAATTTCTGATAGAATATCTTAATGTAATAAAATATCATAAAATGTGACATGCAAGGTGAAGTTTAAATTAACGTTGGAAATAATGTCTATATTTTGTATGCTTTATTTTCCTAGGTGAAGACAGCATTTACTTGAGAAATAAACAACTATAGTTAGCATCTGCCAGAATATTCCCTAATGTCTGATCTGCTTACAGTCTGTTCACAATAAAATATCAACTGTTGGGGTTCACAATAAAACATCAAATATTGGGGTTCACAAAAAACATCAACTGTTGGGGTTCACAATAAAACATCAATTGTTGGGGTTCACAATAAAACATCAACTGTTGGGGTTCACAATAAAACATCAACTGTTGGGGTTCACAATAAAACATCAACTGTTCTCGTTCATACTATAACATAGACTATTGGGGTTCACAATAAGCTTCACCCGGCCGTTTAAAAAAAAATTAAAATATAAAATTAATTTGCTTACTTAAATAAAAGCTTTAGTAACTAAAAGATGTAAAAAAAATATCATTTTCATGTCTGTTTCAGTCTTTATTGTTTCTTTTTAAATGGTAATTAAGTAAATAAATAGCTATTTGCTTAGTACAAAACTAAACACATCAACATTTGACACCCCTATTATACTATTTAAAGCGGAGTGATAAGTTATGGAAGTGGTTTGATGTTTTGCTAAACTTAGTAGCTAATTAATAGCTAATCTAGATTTTTCTCTATGCGACAGTGTGTGCAACTTACTGAAGAACAACCACTGCTGTAGTAGATATGTTTAAAAAGGTGCAAAAAATATATTTGTTGATTTTGGTCGAAATCTGCCCCCCCCCACACGTATTGCGGTATGATAGTTCCACTCCTGTATATTGTGAGTTACTTTAAAGAGTTCTAGCGAAGATAAATGTGAACAGCGACAGTTCTGTCCGTTGGAACGTGACGTTAACTCTTTAGGTAATAACGGGATTTCCCGTTCAGTTATTTCGGTTTCATGAACAGCGTAGCTGTTGCCGAATGTTTGCAGAACGATTTTAGATCTAGATCTAGCTGTAACACTTCCTGCAGTTATCTTTGAAGTAAGTGTAAACATACAATTTACATAACATTAAAATTATGTATAAAATACTGAAAACAATATACATAAAAAGCATGTAGAAAAGTGTATCTTTTATTTATTAAAAATATTATATATTCATGAAGCGTAATATTTTTTTTTTAAATAATTTTAAAAATGTACGTTAATTTCTATTTCTTTTAAGATAGTTGTGAAAGTATTACGATTGCACCTACTACAGATAATTTGATAATAAATAGTGTTAACTGAATTAAATGTTTTAGTTGAAGACAAGACAGCAGCTCTATTACGTGTCTTGTGTTGTCGCCATCTTTTTAACCTGAAAGAAAATATTTTTATAATAGCGGATTTTCCCGTTAAAAACTTTCAGTTTCACCTTTCTCCCTTTAATAAAGTAACATATACATACACAAGAAATATTTTCATATAATAACATGTTTAACAGCTGTAATAGATAATTATTTAATGAAAAAAATAAATATCGTTTCGTAGAGAGGGTAACAGCTGCAATGACTGCTTTAAGAATATAGTTCGATAAGAAAGTTTTGTAAAACTATCGATGTGATTGTTGTCATTTTATTTATGGAATTGTTTGTAATTTCTGTTCAGTTTAAGTCATTTAGACAACATCTGACAAGTATGGTACGTAGTTAATGTGTTATGTATTTCATGTTTAAACACAGGCGGCAACCAAAATGAAGTAGTTGTTTACATTGTTAACACGTCTAAAATATCCGCACTTCAAGTATCTACATGGACGCCAGTCGTATCTGCTAACAAATACCCGACAACGCCGCTCCCCTCATAACGAAAAAAGTATCCCTAAAATCTTAAAAAAGACAAAACGAAGTACTTTAATTTTTTTTACTTTCTATATAAGAGTGTTTTTAATCATTATATCTAGACATAAACTGCAAATAAAATCATTACTACCTAAATCGTGCAACTCTGGGGTCACACCTTGATATTTTTTTGCTGTGTTGCAGCCGTCATACGGTAGGTGGACGGGGGGGAAGGGTGTACATAAATATTTGCACAGGTGCTAGCACACGTGTCTGCAGATCTACATATATTTGCACTTGTCTCTCTGCATCAACGACCGAAACAAGATTATACATCCTGCTACTCTTATATTAACTGTGTAATTATGTTCAATGAAACAATAATTAATGCAATAAGTCCGTCCAAAGCAAAAGAGACTAACGATTGCCAGCAAACCAACCGTCTATGTCCTCTATTATCTATCACATTGACTTATGAGGCTAGCAAAACAATGTAATAAGTAAAGATTCTATTTTTAAACCAGATGCCTACACGAATTCAGGTCAAGGTTGTTACAGAACAGATACAATATTTGGAAGAACAGATACAAGTTCTGGAACCTGTAATTAATTTTATAAAAAATGTGAGATTAAAACATCTAAAATCAACTGCTAATTTTTAAATAAAGATTATTGTGACACTGTTGTGTTATAACAATTTTTCTTTTATTTTTCTAAACTCATTTTTCAAAAGTAAAATTAACTTCTCCAACTAATTAAATTGTATGTATATATATATATATATATATATATATATATATATATATATATATATATATATTATATATATATATATATATATATATATATATATTAAAAGATTCAAATTTGATTTACTTTGTAATATTTGAAAACCAACAAAGTATCATTTAGACGGTAAAAAGTGTTTTACGTTTGACATTTTCTCGTAAAACAGCCATACACAACCTGGCATGTTGAAATAATGTTTATGTTTGTGATCACCAGGTTGTTATAAAAAGTAAGGCGTGGCTAGAAGAAAAAACTGACCAATCATCTGTCAGCTACATCGAGCTATCACAAGAACTGGACACAGCAGCCACGGCCTTGTTGGATGTGACGTCACATATTTCAGGTCAGTTTTTTAATTCACTTTATAATTTAAAATATCTAACCCTTCTGTCAAGAAGCGTAAACGTTTGGTCCAAGAAAAATGCAAAAATCCCCTTTACAATTTAACTTAAAGAAATGGCACATACTAATGTTAAAGGATATAATATCACTCTCAATCCACTATAAAACAACATATTATTTTGTTAGAGATTGACATATACCAACAATTATTCTTTAATCAATAGTGTATAATAATATGGTTAGCATGTAGAATTTAAAATCAACTGTTGTACTTCATTTATTCATATAGAGCGTTGGATAGTAATAACTTAATAGAATAGTTTGTGATTTTTCTTTAAACGCCTTGGTTTAAAATTAATGTTACTCTTTCAGTTTATAAATTCAGTATACACTTATTAGTTCAATTTTAAATAAATTAGTATGTGAATCAATGTAAAATAAATTAGTATGTAAATCAATTTAAAATAAATTAGTATGTAAATATGTAGACCTGGATAACTTAACAGAAGGAAGAGATTAGTTTTTTTAGCGAATAAGAATTTCAATGAAATTTGATTTCCTAAATTTTACTAAATTTACTGTAAAAAATTAAAACACTTGCAGCGTATTATAAACAAGCTAAAGTCTTTAGCAATACTGTGTTTACAATAAAACATTATTCCTTAAAATGTAACTATAATAAAATTCTAAACCCAAATCCCTCAGATGAAGACAATAAGGATGTCAAGAAACCAACGCCATCTTTACCACAGCCTGACACAAAGACAACAGCAACATTTCTAACAGTAGAATCAACAAGACAACTCAAGACACAAGACAAACATACAACGGGTATGTATTAGTTTTGTTTGGTATAACTAGTTAAGTAGCTGGATCATAAGCCGTATACAATGTTAAATCCTGTACGGTTTTATACTTTTTAATTTAAAAAAAAAGAAAAATACTTTAATTGTGTTGTGTATTCTTTTTTTAAGAACCTATTTTTCAAAATTTAATTCCTTTAAAATTACAAACTTATATTTGTGACTATTCTCAGTTGAAGAACATCCTGCCCTAGAGCGTAGACTCGCCTATATTGAAACAACACTATCTTCACTACAGGACACACAACACAAGTCTAAAGATGACATATCAGAAATAAAACAATGGAGAGACAACTTACTAAGAGAACAGAGTGACATGGGGGTAAACATTGAACAACTGACTAAAAAACAAAAGCAGAATTTTAAAAACATTAGCAAACAAATGAGTGAACGAGATAACAAAATAAAGGAGCTGAACAAAGAAATTGAAAGTTTAAAAGAAAAAGAAACCAAGTCAAACAAAACACTAGAGAAACTTTCTCTAGATGTGAAAGAATATGAAAACAAACTACACAAAATAAATAAAGAGATGCAAGCTAATACAGAATTAAGAGATGGTATGAAAGAAGAAATTAAAAGCCATTCTGATTTGATTGTTTCTTTACAAGATGAAAATAATAAAACATTTGTCAAAACATCAACCCAATTTGAAAAGTTGCAATCAAAGGTAAATTTTAAAATTGCAGTCTTATTTTTACAAAGATCTATTCTTACTTGCCAGGTAATTAACTTCAAATTCTCAATTAAGAGGCAGTCGACTAACTTAACATATGATCATAACTTTTATATAAATGCTTTTGTGAGTTTTAATATACAACTAGACTACCCGTCATCCGTTGGATAACTGTGGGTTTCGGGGGTCATCCATCAAAAAACATCACGTCTGTCACTCAGAGGCATGGCGACCCTTCCCGGCGCCCGGGGACAAACTTTTCGATTTGAACCCCCCCCCCCGCAAGATTTCGATTTGCAACCCCCCCCCCCCTCAAACTTTTGATGTGCACCCCCCCCCCCCACTCAAACTTTCGATTTGCACCCCCCTCAACCTTTCAATTTATTTTTCCAACCCATTTTGGAGCCCCCTAAGGTCGGCGCCCGGGGACAGATGTTCCCCACCAGCCCCCTCCCCCCCCCCTCCTCGCTATGCTACTGCAGTGTCACTTATCGTCACAAAAAACAGACCCCACATTCAAAAATATGTTTTTTTATCTTTTAAAAACACCGATTTCGGACTATCCCTTCATATACTGACGTCACATGTGATATACTCAACTCTACTTCACCTTCCCAGTGTCCCGCCAAGTCTCAGACAACATGTTTTTATCGTTTAAAAAACGATTCCAGCTGAGCATGTCTCTGACCACACTATCCCTTCATATGCATAGGACAAAGAAACAGATGAACCCTACTTCACCTGCCCTGTGCCCCGCGAGTTCCTGATAGTCAACCTTATCATTCACATATAGGGCTTAAGAAAAAATAATTGAAAACGTAAAAAAAAATGTTCTATTAATTTTTATGACACCGACTTTAAAATTTAGCCTTCACTCTCCAAAGCAAATTTTAAAATGCTTTTCTGGCATATCTAGCCCTGGCCACCTATACAATGTTTAAATAATGTGAACACCCGCCATCTTGCTCGTGGTAAACATGGCCTAAAAATGGTCCGAAGTCATTCGTCCGGTCCGGACGCCATATTGTTGTTAGCAGCCGACCACGCCTCCAAGTTAGTGAGTAATCCTACTATATCTAGATATAGAACATAGATTTTAAAAAATCCCATTTATTCTCGAATTAGATGATCATTGAAGCTAAACAAAGATTTATATAAAATAATTAAGGCCTGAAATAGATTCTAGATGTAGAATTTACATTAAGTCTAGATCTAGAATGTACATTGAGTCTAGTGACCTAGATCTCGGCTAGATCTAGATTCTAGTCTAGAATCTAGGCTAGATTCATAACTTTCCTTCAACAGCTGATCTTTAGATCTAGATCTAGAGAAATTTATTGTAAAACTAATGAAAAAAGATAGTTTAAAATTGATATAAGTGTTGGAACGTAATAAATACAGCAAACGGACGTATTGTTTAAGTTATAGCCGGCAGAAAATTAGCTTTGTAACGCGTTAAACTTTTGAATGGGCCACAAAGTCTATGATGGAGTCCGCCATTTTTATTGTACTAAAAAAGTAAACACATCAAGGGACGTCACTATTCCCACAAAGTTTAGTCAATGTTTTAACATTTTCTTGGACAGATTGTAGATCTAGAGAAATTTATCGTAAAACTAAATGAAAAAAGACAGTTTAAAATTGATATAAGTGTTGGAACGTAATAAATACAGCAAACGGACGTATTGTTAAAGTTATGACCGACAGAAAATTAGATTTAGAACGCGTTAAACTTTTGAATGGGAACACAATTTTCTTCGATAGACGCCGCCATTTTATTGTACTAAGGAGTAAACAAAAACCTGTGACGTCACGGTCCCGCCGAGTGTAGTGGTCGTTTTAATCTTTTAAAAAAAAATGGGTTACTCTGCGTATGAATAAATCAATAAATTAATTAACGTCTTTAAATAAATTTGTGATTAACAGTCTGTCTTAAAACAAAAATTTTTCTCTACCTACATACTATTTTACAGCTTTCCACGATGAGTGCAACCATGCGAGATAGTCGATCAGGCAAACAAAAAAACAAAAAAACAAACAAAAAAACAAATAAATATTCAAACATGTAAACAAACTTGACATTTAGTAGTATATAGATAGATAGATATAAATATTTAAATTTATGAATCTTCAATTATGATCGTCTTTAGCACAGTGTTATGTACAAATTCCTACAACAGAGATTGATGCCCATTGACAAACTGATTCAAATCTTTAACCAGAACTTGGAAAATAGGAAAGAGCGAATAAATAAGGTATGTTTTTAATGATTGCATTAAAATAATCCAGAACACTGATCAATCCCAAATTAGTCATTAAAAGTCTGTTATTAGTCTATGTAACCCTCACTCAGTGGGGATGCTTTTACCCACTGAGGTGTTGTGGTTTAAGACGGGCTGACCCTGAGATTAAGTACACACCGACGCCGACAGTTGTTGTCAAGTACTCGTTTATTTATAGCATCGAGCCATGACGGCGATGCAACACAGTAGTACAAAACGAACTAGCCAAGATAGACCAAAAGATCAAAAAACCAAAAGAGAAAAACTGTAGCCCTTCATTAGGTCTACATCTTGGTCCCCAGACAGCAGCCTTGCGTGTGCGACACGGCTAGGCATGAAACTACCCACAATCCCATGTCACATGACATGAAACACAGGTAATTTCGCTCACAAAAGCATAAAAAAAACGTCAACAGTTCAGTTGCGATCCCACAGGGACCGCAACCCAATGAATAAAAACTTCATATTTTTATCCCCCTTTGGCTGGTAACCATATGTGTTACACAGCCCCCCTCACAAATAAATGTACAATGGAATTCACATTTACATTTACATTTACAACTCATACTTAATAGTACTTAAAAAAAGTTCAGTACACTAGTACACAGACATTAAGTCCTTTCAACTCAAATAGATTATTCCCGGCAAACCGGTGCTGGCTCCAGTGCAGGTACTGGTCACCACTTGATGCGCCAGGTTGAGTCGCTCGACGGGTCGTCGTTGACGGGTTGACCTCCGCAGCTCCGCTGGTGGTTCTGGGTTGATCCAAGAGTCATCCTCGTCCGATGCCTCGTCCCTCGCATTCACCTCATCCAGATGTGGGGCTGGCCTGACCATCACCTTGTCTTGTCCATCCCGGGCGACCACCTCTGGCACGAAGGGCATTGCCTCCGGCCGAAGTCTGGTTGGGACCACTACCTTGATTGTCAGTTCCTCACCTTCATCTGCCTCACTGGTTGGGATGATCTCTCTCCGTCGCCCCCCTCCGCCACAGTGGGTTCAGCACTCGACATTGTATAGTCGGGTCGCTGCCAACCACGGCGGCGTCCACCACGTCGTCGGCCATCTCCTCCGGCGGCGTCTCCGACCTCTGCTTGTGTCATGTCTGTCTCCCAAGCGACGATCTTGCTCGCGCTGAGACTGACATTCATAGTGTGGCTGTCTACCCTCCTCACGCGCACCCTCCGGCTGCAACCCTCCTCCACGGCGGAACACCCGACAGCCGTACCTCCAGCCGCTAGGCGAGGTAACCTGAGCTGTGGTTGCTCGACACTGTGATGATCTCGGTGGCGTTAACTTGGGCTGGGAGCTTGGCAGAACACGCATCAGCATCCGCTCCCCGAGGCTGATGGACTGGCGTTTCCCTGCTGCTGACCCCGTTGCCTAGCTGCTTTTCTCGGACAGTCGCGGACGAAGTGCTTCGTAGACCCGCACTCGTAACAAGCTCCTCTGGAGGGCTGTTGTTTCCGGGCTAGGATATCTGCCACCTTCTCCGCCAGACGGTCGAGTTGTTCCTCCGTGAGCATCAGCGGCGTCGTCTCCTGGCGACCAGCTACCGTTACTGCGTCGACCTTCTCCGCCAGACGGTCGAGTTGCTCCTCCGTGAGCATCAGCGGCGGCGTCGTCTCTTGGTGAACAGCTGCCGTTACTGCGTCGACCTGGATAGTCCTGTTAGCTGTTGCCGTGGCTACGACTGGGGACTCAGTTGTCCCGTCCAGCCTTTTAACAGCTTTCAGGACGTCCTCCACCTTCGGACTAACTTCCCCTGCGAAACCAAATGTGCCGCGAAGTTCGAGCGCCAGAAGAGGTGAAACCCCCTTGCAGAAAGTGTGATACACCTTCTTCTGGGCATCGGCCTCAGTAAAGATACGCTGCTGGTTTAGCTTCGTCATCTCTGACCACAGTCGGCAGAGAAATTCCGACGCTGACTCCCTTGGATGTAGAGTGAGTCGGCTGAACTGCAGATACCTGTCTTCGGCACATCTGGTGTCGCCAAAAGTGCTTTGTAGGAGGCATAGCACTTCCTCTGGACTCGCAGCTTGCTTCACCCGCTCATAGTCAATCCCTCTCAGGCTGCCTAAGACGGGTGGCAACGGGTTCGGAACGCTGGTGTTCCGCAGCAAACACTGTACTTAGGTTTCCCATTCCGGGAAATTCACCTCCCCTCCTCCAGTGGGTGGAAGGCCGGTGAACACACTCAGCTTGCTGTTGTGTGCTGGAGCACACACCTCCACCTTCACGGGCCGCTGCGCATCTGCCTGCATCGCCGCCATCTTAGCCGTCAACTTGGCCAGCTCCTGCGACAACTTTTCCAACGTCGGGTCGCTGTTTTCCATCCTATCTCCCAAGGTCAAGCCCCACGTTGGGCGCCAAATGTAACCCTCACTCAGTGGGGATGCTTTTACCCACTGAGGTGTTGTGGTTTAAGACGGGCTGACCCTGAGATTAAGTACACACCGACGCCGACAGTTGTTGTCAAGTACTCGCTTATTTATAGCATCGAGCCATGACGGCGATGCAACACAGTAGTACAAAACGAACTAGCCAAGATAGACCAAAAGATCAAAAAACCAAAAGAGAAAAACTGTAGCCCTTCATTAGGTCTACATCTTGGTCCCCAGACAGCAGCCTTGCGTGTGCGACACGGCTAGGCATGAAACTACCCACAATCCCATGTCACATGACATGAAACACAGGTAATTTCGCTCACAAAAGCATAAAAAAAACGTCAACAGTTCAGTTGCGATCCCACAAGGGCCGCAACCCAATGAATAAAAACTTCATATTTTTATCCCCCTTTGGCTGGTAACCATATGTGTTACATCTATATAATATGTCCATTATTGTTTTTAATTTACAGAGAAATAATTTTAATACTTAAATAATAAAATATTTTGATTCATTTTAAATTCTAGCAAGTTGACATTATTTTTTTAAGTTAGTGGGCCAGTCCCACATCATAGTCTATGTAGATATGTGAATATTGTATTTTTTTTTTTTTTTCATTTTAGCTGGGTGAACTTGAAAATAATATTTCCAAGTTGTTCAACAACTTTCATCTCATCGGTACGTTTAAAAAAATGTAAAACCTATTTACATAACAATGGTATATTTAATAGGAAATCTAACTTTTGCTTTTATCATTTAAATGCACAATAGTAAAAGCTATAATATAATTCCTAATTGTAACGAATTGTAAATGTTTTATACGTTTCATGACGTTTGTTCAATTTTCCAACCTCAATCTCTCAAATTATATCTAAATCTTTTACTCTCTGTCTTTCTATAACACGGAAATAACCACTTGTTAAACAAAGTTCGTTAGCCAGACAGACCATAACATGATGTTGTTTAGCCAGACAGGCCATAACGTGATGTTCGTAAGCCAGACAGACCATAACATGATGTTGGTTAGCCAGACAGACCATAACATGATGTTCGTTAGCCAGACAGACCATAACGTGATGTTCGTTAGCCAGACAGACCATAACGTGATGTTCGTTAGCCAGACAGACCATAACGTGATGTTCGTTAGCCAGATCATAACGTGATGTTCGTTAGCTAGACAGGCCATAACGTGATGTTCGTTAGCCAGACAGACCATAACGTGATGTTCGTTAGCCAGACCATAACGTGATGTTCGTTAGCTAGACCATAACGTGATGTTCGTTAGCTAGACAGACCATAACGTCATATTCGTTAGCCAGACAAACCATAACGTGATGTTCGTTAGCCAGACAGACCATAACGTGGTGTTCGTTAGCCAGACAGACCATAACGTGATGTTCGTTAGCCAGACAGACCATAACGTGATGTTCATTAGCCAGACAGACCATAACGTGATAAAGAATGGAACATTTCACTCACCCATAGTGCCAGTCTCTAGACCCGTGGGTTTCCGTCAGGTGTTTGTTTCCTCACCTGGTACATTACACCACCTGGTATGTCGGGGGTCGACCTACAGCGGTCCACCACAGTACCGTTCGATATTTACAGAGCTGCAGTTTAAGTAACCTAATTTCAAATAACGTCACGTCATCCCTTTATGTTTCTAATATTAAGACGATGCCCCATTAGAGACAGGGATTAAATCTAAAATACAATAATAACTTGAAAACATTTAATTGTCGCATTTTAAACATTTTAATATCTTATTAATTGACTGTAACCTGAAATGAAAAATACAAAAGGTAGAATATGCAGCTCTTGTTTCGGTCATTATTAAGTACAACAGATCAACTTTAGTTCTAGTAATTCTTGTTTCAATAGATGATCCATATACAATTAAACTACCCGGATGGTCACTTGCCGGATGCGACAAATGCCCGAATTGATACTTGCCCGAATGCGACAAATGCCCGAATGGACACTTGCCCGAATGGGACAAATGCCCAAAAGCCACTTACCCGAAGACCTTTTGCCCCCAAATAGTCATTCTTAATCAACTTAAATTTGAAATTTTGATAATTAAATAAATGTCTTACCAAATTGAAAGGGAACAAAATACTATTTAATATCTTCAAGCATGCATTATGAATTAATTAGTATTTCCTATATTATACAAAGTGTAGGGCCTACATCTTTTGCTATCTATAAAACAAGACGAAAATATAATTTTCACTTATCTGATGTTTTTAAAATGATTCTCACTTTCTGTATTAAGTAATAGCTTTAAGACATTATCTAAACAAGCTGCATTAAATGAAGATCAAAAATAATTGACTACCTTTAGTTTTTAAATTCGGTGCCCAAGGCGCGCTTCATTCAGTTGTGAAATAGTCATCACACAAGTTAGGCATAACAAAATAAATCAAACAAACGCGTCTCTGTTCAATGTTGTGAGACGCCACGCCGACTACACCGTGCTATAAGCGCTATATAACCACCGCAACACGTCGGCTAAACAAGGTTTTCAAAACTTACATCAAGAGAGTATAAAAACACCGCCGCCAACATAGCATTACATTATTAAAGAATAACGTTTTTTACAGCAATTTCTCAATTTTCAAACATTAAATGTTAAATCTTAAAAGTATACACATTTTCAAAAATATAAACACATTTGTTTTTATGCCCAGAATTGTGTTATCATAATGTCAAACTTGAATTGATTAAGAATGTCTATTTGATATTTAACAAATGTCCATTCGGGAAAGTGTCCATTCGGAAATCGGCCTTGGTGCAAACGGCATTAGCGCAAGTGTATTTCGGGAATTTGTCGTACACCCAGTTTTAGCATAACGTATTTAAAACATTTGTTGTACGTTTAGTGACGTTTTAATTGACCTGCTAAACTGGTAAGGTCAATACGTGGGAAACGATAAACTAACACCGCACAAACTAAGGACCGTACTAAACTAGTGGTCCAGTGTTTCAATTTATGGTCTTTGACAAAGTTATATAAACATTATAGATTCTTATATACAGTTTATTTTTTGAAAAATAATTGTTTGATTTGGGTTTGTCAATTTTACTTACATTATAAACTGCATACAAAACACATATAATGAGATGATAACATAAACTAATGAAACGACAATTTACAAATATTATGGATCAAGTAGTCAGAACATTCGTAAAATTAAACATATGTTTTCTAATCAACAGAGTCATGTGTAGGTCACAGATATGCTTGTCATGTGACGCTTGATCTCGCACCCGTCAGTGTTGGATTAATTATTTCAAGAATCTGGGATGTACGTGAATATAACGGTAAACATTTTAATCGAACAACAGGAAAATTTGTATCACCGCATGATGGCTTATATCTCATCTGTGTCAGTCTAAATGAAAGGGAAGATACACAGATTGGAGTTGGTGTGATGGCTGGAGGCAGGTGCTGTAAGTCTGTAGAAGTGAAATGTGCCGCCACTAACGCTGCTGGGTCAGTGGTTGTTGACATGAAGAAAGGTCAAGAACTTTACTTTAAAGTGATTCAAGCAGATCAAGACGCAAAGTTATCCTGCTACAGTAGTTTTACTATCGCTAGTTTATAGGAGTACAACACAAAACATGGTGGATGGTAAATTCTCAAAACAATAAAACATGTAACCAACATGTTAAGCACACGCTAACAACTTACTACATGTCCATAAACATTTAATGGTTTGTATGTTGTTTTTTTTAGTCATCATTACACAGTTCCAACTAATTCAATGTGATCACCAATTAATATGTTGTACGTGACCACAATAAACATATCTTTCTTCTTCTTCGTTCTTAATTTTTAGTGTTGGGAGGAATCGCGCCTTATCTGCCAGAGGGTTTGAACTCGAGACTTTTTTCGAATTTATCAACCATGAGCTTTTCCGACTCGACCATGCTTCCATCACAATTAAGGATAACGTGTCAATGGGTTATGCGCCATTGAGGCCATTGACTCCGATTTCAGCCTGCTTTTCTTTTTGGGTTTGCTTCCATAGCCTTTGTCCAACCAAGAACAAACTACAAGGCAGCAGTTGTTTGATTTTGGACCCCTAATAAACATATGAGATACACCTGTTTTTAAAAATCTTGTGTTTCTATGTATATGTGTATCATTTTATTTGTTAAAAACAAAACCCCACTTTTTGTGTGTAAATTTTGAAATTGAAATCCGCATTTTCGGACAAACACAATGAACTATAATTGAACTATTAAAAAAACGGAATAAGTTCACTTGGTAACTTAAATATGTGTGAGATATATTTAACAAAAATAATTCATGTTAAGAATTTGTAAATATTTTGAAAGATACTGACAATAAATTTTGTTTCACTTCACGGTAAAAAATAAATAAATTACAGTTATTCTCGAAACAAAAACCGCTCTTGTGATTCTAGTCAGTAACTGTGTATGTGAATTAACACCTACGCAAACACGCACACATAAATAGACTATACATAAGTCTGACAATATATAGACCATATTATATATATATATATATATATATATATATATATATATATATATATATATATATATATATATATTATGCATGTTGGACATGCTACTCTGTTACTAAGAGACATATAGCTGAGCTGTGTTGATCCTAACACAACCGTTAATCAACCAATATCTTGACTCTATCCATTTATTTTTCTAAATTATACACACAGCACCGCCAATGTTACACAAGCTTATTAAAAGGAAGAAACTTTAGGCAGGCAGAATGTTTAATATGAACATCAGAGTAAAGAAATAATAAGCCTTTTAAATAGTTAAAACAACTTTTAACGCGCCTTAAATATAAAGACATACAGTAAATAAGGAGATATAGTGTGTGCGTAGAGGTGGGTTTGGGTTTAATTAAGGAAAAAAAATGTTTAGTAAATTTAGTTGGGTTAAGGTTTAGTGAAGAATGTAATTTTTACGTAACTTAAACAAGGCTAATCGAGTTTTATTTCTTTTTTTTTTAATGTGAAATAAACCATTAGAGCTTACATGTTTTCGCACATCAAACAACTCTCAAGACCGTTAAGAAGATGATTCGCGTTAAAATGTACATCTGTTCGCAACAGTTAGGTCAGCTGAAGTGAAATAAAGTCTACAGCCTTTTTTTACTTTGGTGAGATTTCTCATTCTACGTCTTAGCTTGAAATATTTTTTTTAGCTCGATGTCACATTATTTTTTAAAAACAAAACCAGATCTTATTCATAGTCGATTAATAAATAGTCCTTGCTACTAGTCTGTTTTCGTCTTCTGTTCTTTGTCTAGTCGTGTTAATTAAGTTAAGTGTTATTGTTTTATTTGATGTGGCTGTTTGGTGGTTTTTAATATTTTCGCAAGTGTTTGGTTAGCTTTCTGTACTAGTATACAATCTTAATACAAAACACGTCTACAGCTATATAGTTACTATCAATGAAGTAGCATGGACCTGTCTACTTTAGTGTAGGCTACCCATGGGTCTAGTTGAGGTGGAGGGGCAGCGGGAGGGGTCGTCCCCTGCCGACAGGAGGGAAGCACAAAAAGCGGTAAAAGTCAATTTTAATAAGCTGAAGTTTTGAATTATAAACGGTCAAAGTTAAGAAATTAAATGGATACATGTCTTTATTCAACTGCTTTCTACATTGATTGGGTAAATGTGAAGTACACTCTTAAGAACCAGAGACCTGGAAAGATAGTTTACCATCAAGATGGGAGAGGAGGGGGTGCAATTCTGTCGGCTTAAATCGGAATGATTTATCCTGGACTGGTAGATGACTGTTATAATATTTAGAAAAGAAACAAAGTGTAAAGAGCACCAATTTATCAGCCAGATAGTTGGCGAACGCTCCCGGATTCGTTTAACTGATTATACACAGATGGCGACAAGCCTAAATAAAAGAAAGCTAACACAATAGTTTACAAGGACTCGTACTTGATGTCTAGGGGAAACACTAGAGAAACTACTGATGCCAACAATACATTTAATCTGCATATAACTTTTAATGAGTGTACAAAATCGTGGCAGAACACTAGATTTATACAGGATAAAATAGATTTACAGAATGAACAAAACCCAACTTACAATTCGTGGAAAAAAATCATATGATACACTATCAAAGCTTTTAACACTTCAGAAAAATCACCACAGTTTACACAACGCTGCTATAAGCATAAAGAATTACTTAACCACAAGTAATATAATAATATGCTTCTTAAACAACTTAGTATTACTCAGCGACACACAGGGCTTATTATGTCTCAAAGACGTCTGGTCAAAGAACTGCCTAGAGAGACCTGTGCGCGGTCTATTTATAGACTTAGGCAACATGGAAGGTCACCTTCAAATCATAAGGCTATTGGTTGGGGTATCACCTGGTCCGCATCAACCAATCATCTCATGATGGAAAAATAATGAGTCTAAGACTTTCTTAAGACAGTGGACAAAACCAGTGATTATACCACAGACCATATATGGTAAGGTAACAAACGTAAAAATAAAAATACCAGACCTAAGTAGGTCACATTCCCTCCCTTTTGAAGAGGCAGTTAATTAAATGATAAACAACTTATTTCATAACCATGATTAAATTTACAATCTAAGTATAGTGAATCCACTTCCTGCGTGTAGCTTGGCTCCATCATCAGCTTGGTCCACTTTAAAATAAAGTTCTTGGCCTTTTATCATGTCTACAACAGTTGATCCAGCGGCAGATAGGCTGATTTGACAAGAAGGCTCTTATACAATCCGTCACCCCTGTACACATATATTGTAATCAGTTTATCTTCCGATTCCTGCAGCGTCACAATCACAAGATAGTTACCATCATCTGGTGCTACAAGTTTTCCTGTTGTTCTATTAAAATGGCTGCCGTTAGGTTCCCACACTTTATGAAATGTTGAAAGAATTGATCCAGTAGTCACAGGTGTGTTGTTGTCCAGGTGAAGTTGACAGATGTAAGGCTGACATACTCGGGTCTCTGTTGGAAATTAAATATTAGAGTTTAATCATAAACTTTTGCACAAGTGTCTGTTTGTCTGTTCACTATTAGATGTATGTTTATTATTCAACTTACCAATTATCTTAAAATCTTTCAACAGCTTTAAAACATCACTTTCTCGAGTTTCAACCTAAAATTTGTTTACGCATTGTATCAGAAATTATGTTCGTACAAAAAATCACTCATGTGAAACCTGACTGTCTTACATTCTTAAAATAGTAATTACCCTATTTTATTTAAATAGCACACACACTAATATTTAAAGTAATTGGTCTGAATAGTAGTTTATATTTCACATTATTTTAAGAAAAATAAAATAATCATCAGTAATTAAATATAGGAAATAATATACAAATCTTAACTGATAAAAGCTTACCTTTGTAGTTAAAGCTACTAACATATCTGTAGTGTTGGCCAGCTTTTTCTTCCCATCATCTTGTAGAGTTGAGTGGGTTTTAATTTCTTGTCCTGTTTTTTTAACATCCGTTTTGAATAACATCGATCAAAATGATACACTCATGTTTATACTGATTAACTATGTGTCCAAAGTTTGATTTATTACTAGTCTAGTTTAAATAAACCGTTAGTTGAAACATGGCAGTATAGGGGGGGGGGGGGTCGAGTATCATTTAATCGCCTAACTATAAGGAAAAAAAAACATTTTATTAGTGTTTTTTTGTATTAGCCGCAACACGACCGAAACACAAGATTTCATAATATGTTGAAATATACGGTTTGAGTGATGACTGGTTTTATGTGCCGTTTTTTTCTATTTGTTTATGTGTATGTGTTTGCTTGTGTGTCTCTGCGTGTATTGTAATACATGTCTTATATAATTTCTCTGTGATCCAGGAAATGTTCCTGTTTGAAATTTCATTCTCCTTCCCCGCCCACTTGCTGTGTACTATCTCGACAATAGTCCTCCTTAAGCTCTTATATTCGTAGGCCGTTTTAAAACAATATGTCCAATACTACTGATCCTCTAAATGTGCACATGTCCTTGTACTTTATGCTTTAGATATTATTGATACATTTCTTACGTATCCATTTATTAAAAACATTCAGCATTCAAATAACTTAGCGGTTGTTGTTCTCTTAAAAAAGGCAATTGACCACCAAAAATATAACAAGTGAAAAAACTTACATCAGTAAACAACATAGGTCATTTTAAAATTGTATTTTACCATTAAAACTCAACATGGGTTACTAGTATCTATTTAAAACAAGCATGGTTTTCTACCATACAATATTACGTAAACATGCTAATACTTAAAACATAGATTGTGCAGGTTAATCATTTATAATACAATGAGTTAATGTTAAAATACTTACTAATGGAATCTACATCATTTGACAATTTCGAAACATCATTGTCCAGGGCTGCAAACTTAAAACAAAAGATATCATCTCATCTTTTGAAAATTGTATCATTATTTGTTGTTATTATTGACTTTTTACAAAATAAAAAAAAATGAACCTAAGAGATCCATTTATTTTTTTTTAATTTATAATTATGTCTACCAAACACAGAAAACCACTTTGGGTATATGTTAATATTGGTCTCAATCAATACTCCTGTCACACGTGGGTTTGTAGACTCTCAAAGGGACCAATGGCATTAGGTAATAAATATGTTACCTTTTGTTTGTACTTCTGCCTACTTGCCAATTTTTTATTAAAAATTTGAATTAAATTTTCAACGGGCATCAATCTTTGTTGTAAGATCTTGAACGTGACGCTATGCTAGGGAGTAGAATGATAAAGATCAAGTTGTCTTTAATTATTTCACAAATGAAATCGAAACAAAATGCATGTTAGAAGTTTAAAGTTCATAGGCATTAACTAATAAGGTAAAGTGCATGGACATTAACTAATAGAATACAAGCCACAAAATCCATTCAATAAAATATTCTATGTGTTCCAAACGTAAAATAGGTACAAACCATGGACATTAACTTTTCTACTTTGGTTTCCGTATTTTTGTTTTTATTTCCTTCTTCCCTCAAGTGAGAAATAACATCGGAATGACTTTTTATTTGTTTTTGCAATTTCTCTGTTTTAGTTGTTTGAATTTCTAATTCTTCATTTATTTTGTTTAATATAATGTCAAACTTGTTCATCTCTGTATTCGTTCTTTCTAGTGCTTGGATTGTATTTGATTCTTTTTCTTTGAGGGTCTTAATTTCTGTATTCAACTCATTTATTCTGGTTTTGGATTCTTGTATTTGCTCTCTAGTCTTTTCTTTATTATCTGTTAGTGTCTTAGACAGTTCATCAAATTTTTTCGCCATAGTTTTATGTTCTGATATAAGTGTTTTCCTCCATTGTTTTATTTCATCCAATTGTTTCAGTTCTTCATTCATCTTATCCGTTATATGTTTGTATTCGTTAATTTGCTTTCGGAATTGCTTAGCATTCTGTTTTTCTTTTATAGCCAATTGTTCTAATTGTTCCTTCATATTACTTTCTTCTGTTTTATAAGGGTCCCTCCATTGCTTAATTTCGGTCAAGTCAGCTTCAGTTTTTTTTTTATTCCTACTTTGCATAGAAGTTAGCGTTGTTTCAAGACGCTCTACTCTCTGCTCTAGTCTGTTACTAAAATCAGCTGCAACTTGTAAAATGTGTTTATGTTAGCATATTCTTGGAGAAGGCTGTAGAATCAAAATATTTCAAACAACAGAAAGAAGTAAAGTATTTACATTACATTGATATATATATATATATATATATATATATATATATATATATATATATATATATATATATATATATATATATATATATTAAGCAATTTTACTTAGCACAATTACTTTTTACAACCATTTCATTTATTTTTATTTTCGCTTTGATAAATTAAGGTTCTACCTGACATAGAAAGATCAGAATAATTTACATCGTGTACCGAGTCAACACTTTTATTCTCTTGTGGTGTCTTATCTCCAGCCATTGCTTGATACTTGGTGCAGGAAACTTTTAGACATGTGTAACAAATATGTTTTAAGGACTAGATTTTCAATAGTAAGAATGTAAAATGATTTGAATAGCATTGCAAATATGTTCAAAAGCACACAATCTAAAATATAAAAATCATCGGCTTTTAATTGATGTTATCTTTCCAATAAGAGTGTTTTGAATTTTAGAAAATGTACAATAGTTTTTTACATATATAGATGTATGTTAGTTTACATAGGTTGCAATGATTTTAAATGGAAGATGTATAATTATTAATGTTTAGACACGTATCTTTTTATTTAGCATATTTGTTGAATGTCTTTATAATATTACCAGAAATCGTTTGTTTAAGTTCAAGTAGGGCAGTATTTACTGTTGTTACCATAGAAACAACTTCTTTAAAATCTATTTTCGCTTCTGATGGATTGTCCAACCATTCCAGTGTTGCTTGTTTTACCTGGCCATGCGATAACAGAGACGAGGATTGAAATATTTAAAGATTAAAGTGCTAGACATAACATAGACGAGGATTGAAATATTTAAACATTGAGGGGCTAGACATGACATAACAGAGGCGAGGATTGAAATATTTAAACATTGAGGGGCTAGACATGACATAACAGAGGCGAGGATTGAAATATTTAAACATTGAGGGGCTAGACATGACATAACATAGACGAGGATTGAAATATTTAAACATTGAGGGGCTAGACATGACATAACATAGACGAGGATTGAAATATTTAAACATTGAGGGGCTAGACATGACATAACATAGACGAGGATTGAAATATTTAAACATTGAGGGGCTAGACATGACATAACATAGACGAGGATTGAAATATTTAAACATTGAGGGGCTAGACATGACATAACATAGACGAGAATTGAAATATTTAAACATTGAGGGGCTAGACATGACATAACATAGACGAGGATTGAAATATTTAAAGATTAATGAGCTATTTAATTTAAAAGCAAAAAAAAAAATCTCAATTCAAAATATTCATAATTTTTGTATTGGGCGTTTAAAGTAATTCCACTACCATGTATAATTCTATTTACAGAAGCAGTGTTTCTTCCAGACATTTTCTCCGGGGGGGGGGGGGGGGGACTTGATAGTTTAGGGGGTTGATATTTTAGGGGGTTCAGTAGACTTTCTTCTGGGTTGGTTGGAGAGAGGGGGCAATGCCCCCCCCCCCCCCCACCGAAAAGATGCCTGGAAGAACCTTTGTACAGAAGGAATGTGGATTGAAAATGAGATTTCATATCACCCATTAGCAAATTATCTGCATTACTTAATAGCTCTTAGTAACAGGCTTTGGTGTTTTTATTTCTTAAGCAGCTTAATAATGTTCTAGATAAGTTAAAGTCTTGTGAATACATCGTACTATTAGATGTGCTTACCTGTTGATCAAAGTCACTTAAATTATTTTTCAACAAACTTTTCATCTCTTCCAGATTATTCAACAGTTGAGCTAAATAATTCTTTATGAAAATATAAACTAATTTATTTTAATTGTGTCATTTGAATATACTCTTTATAAATAGATATACTATTATTAAACAATATTGATGATCCTACCAGCACATTAAAGTTTACATAGACAATGTGTAGACTATAGTGTAGGCAAATACATAAAAATAACATAACACATTTCATGAAACTTCTGAACATGATTTATCCTTTTGTTTGTCACTAGGTTGGTGTTCAAAGTACGGATCTAATTTTAATGTTGGTGAGCAGGTTGGTGCATAAAAACAAAAGTATATAATTAAAAGTGTTTTACCTCATAGAATATTTGATAGAGTATCTCAATGTAAACTGTGACGTTGAAAATGATGTAATTAAAATTATGTTTTTAGTTTTAGAATATCTGATCAAATGTCTCAATGTAAACTGTAATAGGCAAAATGATATAATTAAAAATAATTTTTTTCTTATCTCAATGAATTTATGATAGTATATCTCAAGGTAATAAATCATACTAAACTTAGACAGGCAAGGTCATATTTAAATTATTAACATAATTCCTCTGTTTTGTATGTTCTGTGAAGAAAGTGTCTACTTTTGAAATAAACGACTCTAGCTAGCATCCACCTTAACAATCCCTAATGTGGGGTTCACAATAAAACATCAACTGTTGGGGTTCACAATAAAACATCAACTGTTGGGGTTCACAATAAAACATCAACTGTTGGGGTTCACAATAAAACATCGACTGTTGGGGTTCAAAATATAAAATCAATTGTTGGGGTTCACAATAAAACATCAATTGTTGGGGTTCACAATAAAACATCAATTGTTGGGGTTCACAATAGATTATAGAACATCGACTCGGAGACTAAATTTTGATTTGTGCCGTCTTAAAATATGACAAGACCAACAAGATTAATGTTTTTAGCTGGAAGTCAGAAAATTGATTGTATTCATGGCACTCATAGAGAGAAAAATGAGACAGTTAGTTGATACAGTCTAAACAAATAAAACAAAAATTAAAATTCGTTAACAACAAGCTTTTAAATATATTGTAAATAAGAAAATAATGTATTCAATAAAGGTAAAAGCAATAGGCATGGAAGGTTTTTTTTTCACATTGGCGGCTTTAAAAATTAAAAATATAAAATTAATTTGCTTTCTCTAATAAAAGCTGTTTTCGCTAACTAAAAGATATAAAAAAATATCATTTGTTATGACTATGTCATTCTTTATTATTCCTTATTTTAATAACAATTAAGTAAAGAAATTGCTTTTTAATTTGCTTAGTTCAAACTAGACAAATTAACTTTTGGACATCCCTATTATACTATTTAAAGCGGAGTGATAAAATATGTTAATGATTAGAAGGTTTGCCAAACTTTCACACAACAGCTAATCAAGATTTTTCTCTATGCGACAGTGTGTGCTACATACTGAAGAACAACCACTGCTGTAGTTGATATGTTTAAAAAGTTGCAAAAAATATATGTGTTGCTTTTGGTCGGAATATGCCCCCACCCGCATTGCGGTGGTATGATATTTCGACTCCTCTATATTGTGAGTTACCTTAATAAGTTCTAGCGAGATCAATTTGAACAGCGACAGTTCTGTCCCTTGGAACGTGACGTTAACTCTTTAGATAATACCGGAATTTCCCGTTCAGTTATTTCGGTTTCAATAGCAGCGTAGCAGTTTGTAGAACGATTTTAGATCTAGATCTAGCTGTAAAATTTACTGCAGTTATCTTTGAAGTAAGTGTAAACATATAATTTACATAGCATTAAAAATAAGCATACAACACTGATAACAATAAACATAAAAAGTATGTAGAAAAGTGTATGTTTTATTTTTTAAAAATATAATACATTTATCATTTTTATGAAGCATAATATTTTTTAAAAATACGTTTAAAATGTACGTTAATTTCTATTTCGTTTAAGATAGTATAAATCTATTAAAATGGCGCCCACTACAGATATTTAGATGATAAGATAGTGTGTTTAATTTTTGTGTGTTACCTAAATTAAATGTTTGAGTTGAAGACAAGACAGCTGCTCTAGTACATGTCTTGTGTTATCGCCATCTTTATAACCTGGTAGAAGATATATTTATAATAGCGGATTTTTCCGTTAAGAACTTTCAGTTTCGCCGTTCTCCTTTTAATAGAGCATCATATAAATAAACAAGAAACATTTTCATAGAATACCATGTTTAACCGATGTAATAGATAATTATTTAATGAAAAAAATAAATAGCGTTTCGTAGAGAGAAAAACAGCTGCACTGAATGCTTTAAAAATATAATTTGTGTTAGAAAGTTTTTTAAAACTATCGATGTGATTATTGTCATTTTGGTTTGGCATGGTTCATAATTTTAGTTCAGTTTAAGTCAATTAGACAACATCTGACAAGTTTCGATACGTAGTTAAAGTGTTACGTATTTTATGTTTTCAAACACAGGCAGTAACCAAAGTGGGGTTGTTGTTTACATTGTTAACACGTTTAAAATATCCTCACTTCAAGTATCTACTTGGACACCAGTCCTATCTGCTTATAAATATTGGCGAAAAAAATTCTGGACAACGCCCCTCCCCTCAAATAAAGTATCCATAAAGAAAAATGATCCGATAAAATCTTAAAAATAACCAAACAAATTACTTTACATTTTTTTCTATGTAGATGTGTATTGAAATCATTATATCTATATATAATTCTCTTCATGTGGACCACAGAAAACACCACACAGCTTAGCCACCACCTCAATCTCCACCTGTCTGGTAAGCTCCAGTTCACTCCGAATGTTTACAATCGTAGAGCCGGGTTAATGACGGCTATTAGGGGCATATAATTTAGTATTAAACGATTTAAAATTAAGGGGCTGCTTTCACTGGGCGGGGTGGGTTTAGGTGGGATGTAGGGGGTGGTGTACTGTCGACAGCGGCGTATGCTACGTCTGCAGATCTACATATATTTGCACTTGTCTCTCTGTATCAAAGACCGTTACACGATTATACATCATGCTACTCTTATTTTACCTGTGTAGTTATGTTCAATGAAACATGAATTATTACAACAAGTCCGTCCAAAGCAAAAGAGACTAAGGATTGGCATTAAACCAAAAGTCTCTGTCCTCTGTTATCTATCACATTGACTTATGAGACTAGCAAAACAATGTAATAAGTGAAGATTCTTTTTTTAAACCAGATGCCTACACGAATTCAGGTAAAGGTTGTTACAGAACAGATACAATATTTGGAAGAACAGCTACAAGTTCTGGAACCTGTCATTAATTTTATGAAAAATGTAAGATTAAAACATCTAGAATCAACTGCTAATTTTTAAAAACATATTATTTTGACACTGTTGTGTTATAACAATTTTTTTCTTTTATTTTTCTAAACGCATTTTTCAAAAGTAAAATTAAGTTCTCCAACTAATTAAATTGTATATATATATATATATATATATATATATATATATATATATATATATATTAAAAGATTCAAATTTGATTTACTTTGTAATATTTGAAAACCAACAAAGTATCATTTAGACGGTAGAAAGTGTTTTACGTTTGACATTTTCTCATAAAATAGCCATACAAAGCGTGGCCAGTTGAAATAATGTTTATGTTTGTGATCACCAGGTTGTTACAAAAAGTAAGGCGTGGCTAGAAGAAAAAACTGACCAATCATCTGTCAGCTACATCGAGCTATCACAAAAACTGGACACAGCAGCTACGGCCTTGTTGGATGTGACGTCACATATTTCTGGTCAGTTTTTTAATTCACTTTAAAATTTAAAATCTCTAACCCTTCTGTCAAGTAGCGTAAACGTTTGGTCCGAGAAAAATGCAAAAATCCCTCTTACAATTTAACTTAAAGAAATGGGACATACTAATGTTAAAGGATATAATATCACTCTCAATCCACTATAACACAACATATTATTTTGTTAGAGATTGAAATATACCAACAACTATTCTTTAATCAATAGTGTAATCTATAATAGGGTTAGCATGTAGAATTTAAAATCAACTGTTGTACTTCATTTATTCATATAGAGCGTTGGATAGTAATAACTTAATAAAATAGTTTGTGATTTTTCTTTAAACGCCTTGGTTTAAAATTAATGTTACTCTTTCAGTTTATAAATTCAGTATACACTTATTAGTTCAATTTAAAATAAATTAGTATGTAAAGCAATGTAAAATAAATTAGTATGTAAATCAATTTAAAATAAATTAGTATGTAAATATGTAGACCTGGATAATTTAACAGAAGGAAGAGATTAGTTTTTTTAGCGAATAAGAATTTCAATGAAATTTGATTTCCTAAATTTTACAAAATTTACTGTAAAAAAATAAATATAGAGATGCAAGCTAATACAGATGTAAGAGACGGTATGAAAGAAAAAATTAAAAGCCATTCTGATTTGATTGTTTCTTTACAAGATGAAAATAATAAAACCTTGGACAAAACATCAACCCAATTTGAAAAGATGCAATTAAAGGTAAGTTTTAAAATTGCAGTCTTATTTTTACAAAGATCTATTCTTACTTGCCAAGTAATTAACTTCAAATTCTTAATTAAGAGGCAGTCGACTAACTTAACATATGAACATAACTTTTATATAAATGCTATGTGAGTTTTAATATACAATAAAAATAATTAAATGTATGAATCTTCAATTATGATCGTCTTTAGCACAGTGTTATGTACAAACTCCTACAACAAAAGTTGATGCCCATTGACAGACTGATTCAAATCTTTAACCAGAACTTGGAAAATAGGAAAGAGCGAATAAATAAGGTATGTTTGTAATGATTGTATTTAAATAATCCAGAACATTGATAAATCCCAAATAAGTCAATAAAAGTCTGTTATTAGTCTATATAATATGTCCATTATTTTTTTTAATTTACAGGGAAACAATTTTAATATTTAAATAAGAAAATATTTTGATTCATTTTCAATTCTAACAAGTTGACATTATTTTTTTTTACGTTAGCGGGCCAGTCCCACATCATAGCCTATGTAGATATGTGATTATTTTATTTATTTTATTTCATTTTAGCTTGGTGAACTTGAAAATACTATTTCAAAGTTTCTCTGTGCTCCAGGAAATGTTTCTATTAGTTTTTCATTCTCCTTCCCAGCCCACTTACTTTGTTCTTTCTTGACAATAGCCCTCCTCAAACTCTTGTATTGGTAGGCCGTTCTAAAACAGTATGTCCTATACTACTAATTATCTAAATGTGCACATGACCTAGTACTTAACGCTTTAATTATTATTGATACATTTCTTACGTATCCATTTATTAAAAACATTCAGCAAATAACTAAACGGTTGTTGTCTTTTTAAAAAAGGCACTTGACCACTAAAAATTATAACACGTGAAAAAACTTACATCAGTAAACAACATAGGTCATTTTTAAAATTGTGTTATACTGTTAAAACTAACGGCAAGTGACGTTCGGGAAATCGTCCGGCTCCCTTTATAATCATAAAGTCCGTACGTGTTTACATTACAGTTTAACTATATTTGGTTTATCTATCCAAACCAAAATTACTGGAACTAAAGTTATTCTGTTGTACTTAGTAATCACCGAAAACAAGATCTGCACCGTGTAACTTTTTTTATTATTCATCTCAATTTACAGTCAATTAATGCGATACTAAAATGTAAAAATGTAAAAATGTTTTCATGCTATTATTTTAGTTTAGGTTTAATCCCTGTCTCTTATAGGACTCCGTCTTAATCTTAAAAACATAAGGGAAGATGTGTCGTTATATGTAGTTAGTTAAATTGAAACTGCAGCTCTGTAAATGTCTTACTGTACTGGGTAGACCGCTGTAGGTCGACTCCCGACATACCAGGTGGTGTAATGTATCAGGTGAGGAAACAAACACCTGACGGAAACCCACGGGTCTAGAGACTGGCACTATGGGTGAGTGAAATTTTCCATTCTTTATCACGTTATGGTCTGTCTGGCTAACGAACATCACGTTATGGTCTGTCTAGCTAACGAACATCACGTTATGGTCTGTCTGGCTAACGAACATCACTTTATGGTCTGTCTGGCTAACGAACATCACGATATGGTCTGTCTGGCTAACGAACATCACGTTATGGTCTGTCTGGCTAACGAACATCACGTGATGGTCTGTCTGGCTAACGAACATCACATTATGGTCTGTCTGGCTAACGAACATCACGTTATGGTCTGTCTGGCTAACGAACATCACGTTATGGTCTGGCTACCGAACATCACGTTATGGTTTGTCTGGCTAACGAACGTCACGTTATGGTCTTTCTGGCTAACGAACATCACGTTATGGTCTGTCTGGCTAACGAACATCACGTATTGGTCTGTCTGGCTAACGAACATTACGTTATGGTCTGTCTGGTTAACGAATATCACGTTATGGTCTGTCAGGCTAACGAAAATCACATTAGGGTATGTCTGGCTAACGAACATCACGTTATGGTCTGGCTAACGAACATCACGTTATGGTCTGTCTGGCTAACGAACATCACGTTATGGTCTGTCTGGCTAACGAACATCACGTTATGGTCTGTCTGGCTGTACGATTAGGTTTTTAAAATTATTTTTTTATGCAAACTTACCTATAATATTCAAATCTTTGGACAGTTTTGAAATAGCACCTTCAATATTTTCCAGCTAAAAAAGTTTTTTATAAAACAAATGAAAAATTCCCGTAGTTACGTACAGCATACAAATGATGCACTGATTTTAATTGGTTATGACATATTGTAAAAATAGAACATTATTTAAAGCTTGTGTTATTTTTAAATATATGTTATTAACTTGTCTATTTACATAGTGTTCATAATTAATGCACGATTTATCAACGTCGCAATTTATTTATTTTTAAATTACTTCTTATATACCTTCGTTATTCTTTCTTTCCTTGTTTCCAAGTTTTTGTTAAAGATTTGAATCAGTTTGTCAATGGGCATCAACCTTTTTTGCAGGAGCTTGTTTGTTAAAATGTACTAAAGAGCAGAAAATTTAATAAAAGCATTAACATTTTAATTATTTTTACTGCACATTATAACTAACAAAACATAAAATGTGTCTTAAAATAAGTAATACTTGTAAAGTATAACTTTTGATAAAGCTACTAAGTTGTGTTTTGATTTAACCAGGTAATAAAATGTGAAATAAGTTTTCTGGCCAGTATGTGTAAAATTGTGTTAACCCATGATTAGCAATTTTACCTTTTCTAATTGTGTTGATGTATTATGCATGGTTTTATAACTCTCTTCTTGTAGGGTAGACATCTGATCTGAATGTCTTTTAATTTCTTGTGTTATACTATCAGTTTTATCTGTGTGATCTTGCATCTCTTTGTTTATTTTTTAGTAAGTTGTCTTCATATCCCTTTATATCTAGAGACAGTTTCTCTAGTGTTTTGTTTGACTTGGATTCTTTTTCTTTTAAACTTTCAATTTCTTTGTTCAGCTCCTTTACTTTGTTATCTTGTTCACTCATTTGTTTTCTGAGGTTTTTAAAATTCTGTTTTTGTCTTTTAACCAGTTGTTCAATGTTTACCCCCATGTCAATCTGTTTTGTTACAAAGTTGTCTCTCCATTGTTTTATTTCTGATATTGCATTTGTAGACTTGTCTCTGATGTCTTGTAGAGAAGATATGGCTGTCTCTATCTGCTCAAGTCGACTGACGTCTTGTAGAGAAGATATTGCTGTCTCTATCTGCTCAAGTCGACTGACGTCTTGTAGAGAAGATATAGCTGTCTCTATCTGCTCAAGTCGACTGACGTCTTGTAGAGAAGATATGGATGTCTCTATCTGCTCAAGTCGACTGACGTCTTGTAGAGAAGATATGGATGTCTCTATCTGCTCAAGTCGACTGACGTCTTGTAGAAAAGATATAGCTGTCTCTATCTGCTCAAGTCGACTGACGTCTTGTAGAGAAGATATGGCTGTCTCTATCTGCTCAAGTCGACTGACGTCTTGTAGAGAAGATATGGCTGTCTCTATCTGCTCAAGTCGACTCAATATTTCTATAGTAATACATGATAAACAAATAAAATTATTGTACGTATTAATTGTGTTTAGTAAATCATAAATACTTTATTTTTAACGAAGCTAAGACATATATGTTTACATCTTAAGATTTATTTGTTTTAGTTTCTAAATATTCCATACCCGCTGTTGATTGAACGTGTTTAGTGACTTGATGTTTCGATTCACTAGGGTCCCATTTTTCTGCTGCTGTAGGATATGGTGTTGACTGAGATAATGATGGCGCAGTGTCCTCGACATTTACGTAGTCTTTATTTTCATCTTGGTGATGTAAATGAACAAAATAATGTTTTGTTACATATTGAAATAGTCGAATATGTATTTTTGTTATTTGAATAATTTCTTTAGATGGAACTACTGTATCTTTTTTCATAGATCCTCAATTTAACATTATTACAATTATTGAAAAAAGCTTTACTTATGATAGATGATGATGTATTCAACAAACACAATGTAGCTGCCTCTAGTTGCTGGCAAAGTTCGCCGTACGTGAGAGGCGGGTTATCAATTTTATCTTCTATCCAAGTTTGACATTTTTCTACAGCCTTGTATAAAAACATTTTTGAATGTACCGTGTATTTTTCTTTTGAAATTATTCCTTAACTACTTTTTTCTACATAAGTTATTGCACTATTTAAAATGTATGAACAAATAACAATATTATTAATCGTTTACGTTTTTCATAACTTCCAAGACAGGTTCCAGAACTTGTATATTTTCTTCCAAATATTTCTTATACCGTACAACAAGTTCAAGGTGTATCCTGGGTCGCATCTAACAAAATATTTAAAAGATGTGGTCGAGATGTCAACTAATTAACTTGAAAAATCAGAAAACTATAAACCAATTGAGAAAAACAAAATATTTACAACAAGATAGTTTTTTAAAAAATCACATATAATTTACATAGCAAGCAAATTTATTGATAGACTTTTAATATGTGTTTATTTAACATGTTATTCTACTATAAATTTTGAATATTATTGTTTTTCTTATTGCATGAAATTGTACTCTTTACATTTACATCCAACAAATGAAAATGAAAGTGTCCATCGGGAAAATCAGCTTTTATTAAAAAAAATATTCCATTAATAAACGTGGCCAGCAATACAAGAGACGTAGGCTGCTAGATCTGTTTTTTTTTTTGCCGCCAACTAAAATATTTCATTCAGGTAAAAACCACGTATCTGTGTATTTAGTAGGTCATTCAAATGGTTTTATGTCGAAGAAACTATTATCTGATTATTTAATAATGTTCCTCCATCTTAAACATATCTTAAAATAGGTACTATTTGTATTCGAAAAATTCAAACTAAACGACACATTATATGATCCACAATTGAATACAGGTTTCATTACTAAATTAAGATACATGTATAATCTCTAAACCATTTGATTACACTTACTTTAATCTTGACTTCTGGTATTCTTTTGACGTGTAGGTATAACTTTCTTACACTATTCCACAGCTTATATCCTGCTCGTGAAACTGAAAGTAATAAACGGGAAATTCCGCTATTATCTATTACGTTGAAACCTCAGTACAAAGTACACAAAAACCCAAGGGACATAACTGTGGCTACTCTTTTTTTTGTTGCAACAACACATTGAGTTAAAAGAAGGTAACATAAGATACTGTTTAATTTCATTACATATGCACTTACATATAAGCCTACATATGTGATGAATGTATATTGCTTATTATATGCAGATAGACGTTTATGGTTAAATTTTGTGTTAGGTCTAGAATTAGGTTAGGAAAATGAATAAGTCCAGTAAAAGTTCAGATATTATCAACTCATGAAGAGTTCACGTTAAAATAACTACTATCGAGAAAACAAATGAATGAGAGTTTATGACAGAATATTCAATGCAGAAGAAAACTAAATCCTGTTCGACATCATTATTCGTGTGGATAACGTGTGGTGGCTATAACCACAAGTCTCATCAGTGCTCGTTTGACGTTGTTTTATATCGAGATTATTCTACGTTAACGGTTGTTTTGTTATAGGTTTTTCGATCACTAACTAATGTGTAATCGAATAATATTTGCGTGATTCAGATATCATTCATTGTGGGCGTATTGCCAGTTATGGTCGTATAGATATCTTTAGTCGTGGTGTTGTGATTAGTTAACGGTCAATGATAAAACTGAAATAGTTAATGTTTATTATCAATGGTCCAGATGTACGTTTTTAGGGTGGAAACGATTTTAAATTGTATAATGATTATTCGCACTATATACTGAATTAGATCCGAAGCAAAATAGAGTTGTTATTTTTAAATTTCGTCTGTATAAGTTATATATTAAATCTACTTATGTTTTATTTTAAAATATGTCTACCCTTTACATTAAAAAATAAACTGAATTTTTTTTTAGAATAATTTTATAAAAAATATGTAGGGTTTATTAAGTATTTAATGTTTCCTAACTTTTCCTGCATTTAGTACCTACAGTGGCGTAGCGAAGTCGGGTGTCACCCGGTGCGGCACAAATGGTGTCACCCACCAGAGGCGTAGCGACCTTTCCCGGGGACAAACTTTCGATTTGCACCCCCCCCCCCCTCAAACTTTCGATTTGCAACCCCCCTCCCTCAAATTTTTCTCTATATATTTTGCTAATTTTTGCCTTGATGTCACCCCCTAAATTGTGTCAACCGGTGCGCTCCGCACCCCCGCCCTTCCCCCCACTTGCTACGCCTCTTAGAACCTATAACAGTTTTTGTTTTAAAACAAAAATTAAATTATAAAAACTAATTTAGCTGAAAGATACTGAAATTATTGGCCTAAGTATCAGGTTTGTTATTTTACGTAGTTCAGCTGTTAAAATATGAGAACGTATTTTGAAATGTACATCTTACCATTATTACTTTTAATCCGAATTCTGTATAAAAAACCTAGCACTACAATATTTTCTACTTTATTATGACCTTAGAGCAAAGTGTAGTCACTTATCTGTTTCTGAACCCAAAAAAATATATTTTATATTTTTGTTAATGGACACGACTATTTATTTCGTATTTCTCCATTTGTAAAGAATGCAATCAAATTTTGTAAGGAATCACGGTTAGAGTTTTCTCACTACGAACTTTATTAAACATTAAGATTGTAGGTAATAAAATATTTTAAGACGGAAAAAATCAACGATTAGTACCCCGGTATCTGGTTACAATAATCGGCTACACTCAGGGACGCCATTTCTGTTATGACATCAATTAATACTAATAGTTTCGCTGTCTGTGTATCTATCTATCTGTGTATCTATGTATCTGACAAGAACGCTCTAGAGAAAACACAAGCAAATTAAAAACATGCATAGTAATTCGAAAAACGAAATATGACGTCGTCACATTTAGCATAGAGTAGAAAATAATCTCAAGCCGGAGAGGGCACACAGTAATATGACGTCATTGATTCTCGAGTAAACATTGAATAAAAAGGCAATTTTGTCTAATCTAAATGGTTTGCGTATAGAGTTTCTTGCATACAATTCTTCGGGTAGGGGCGAAGCCCCATCCCCGCTTAAGAACGTCTGAGGCCCCCCCCCCCCTGCCCAACTCATAAGAAATTTCTTCATCGATACTCTATAATAAAATTACCACCTAATTAATGTGTCTAATCTAAAAAGTGGTTTTCTTGCAATTTCTTTAATGCTATTCTTCGGGTAGTGGCTAAGCGCGACACCAGTGTTTCTTTCAGACTTTTTCCTCCCCGGAGGGTAGATTTTTTCTATTCTAAAAAGTGTTTAGCGTGCAGTTTTTTTTTCAAGCATCTCTTCCGGTAGGGGCGAAGCCCCGCCCAGATTCTTCCTTTAGTTTGTATGATCTACAAATGCGACCAGGGTTTCTTTCAGACTTTTTCCTCCGCGGAGAGGGGTGGGGGTACTTGAAATTTTCGGGGGCGGGGGTAGAATTTTCTGGGAGGGGGCGGACACTGAAAAAAGTGTATAATTATATTTCGTTGAATGGGACGGTAGACATGTTTTGGGGTGTGTGTGGGGGCGCGGGGGGGGGGGGGGTTGGTTTGAGTTTAGAGAAAATAGACAGCACTATCAACCTAGCGCCCGTTGTATCCTTCCTCAACGGGCCATTTTTCTCGTCTCTTATATAGTCTGATACAGTCTTCTTCTTCTTCGTTCTTATTTTTTAGTGTTGGAAAGGATTGAGCCTTATCGGACAGAGGGTTCGAACTCGAATTTAACAACCATGAGCTTTGCCGACTTGACAAACACAATAAAGTATACAGTTCAACTGGTTTTGGATTTGCTTCCATAGCCTATGAACAAATTATAAGGCAGCAATTGTTTGCTTTTGGAGTTGTCTCTTCTAGAAGAATGGCTGTCCCCAGCTAACGAGCCTCATTTGCCTGTATAAAGTCTAGTCATGTTTGCTTTTCGATAGTGTTTGTATTATTATTTAACAACAATTTCTTCGTCGAGGTTATTTTTAAGTGGAGGTGAGATATGTTTAGAACAGTTGATGTTTTATTGTGAAACCCAATAGTTGATGTTTTATTATAAACAGTCTGAAAGCAGATCAGACATTAAGGAATGTTCAGGTAGATGCCAACTATAGTTGTTCATTGCAAAAGTAAACACTTTCTTCAACTACAAATACAAAGTATACAAAACAGAGTAATTATGTTAGTAAATTAAATATGACATTTCCAGTCTAAGTTTATGTATGATAATGACATTGAGAATTTCTATAAAAAAAATTCACTGAGTTAAGAAACCTAATTTTAATTATAGCATTTTACATAAATTTACAATGAGACATTTGATCAGATATTCTAAAACTATAAAGATCATTTTCTACGTTGCAGTTTACATTGAGATACTCTATCGAAAATTCACTGAGCTAAGAAACTTTAAATTATATAATTTTGTATTTATGGACTACCCTGCACACCAACATTAAAATTAGATCCGTACTTTGAACCCCACACTGTGACACACAAAAGTATATATCATGTTCACAAGTTTGTGGACATGTGTTATATTATTTTTATGTTTTTGACTACACTATATTCTACACATTGTCTATGTACATTTTAATGGATTAGTAGGGTCATCAATATTGGTTTAATAATAGTAGATCTATTTATAAAGAATATATTCAAAGGGAATAATAAAAATAAATTAGTTTATATTTTCATACAGATGGCCATATCGATTCCTATAACGGAGCAATTAGCTCAACTGTTGAATAATCTGGAAGAGATAAAAAGTTTGCTGAAAAATAATTTAAAAAAAAATGGAAAAAATGAAATCACATAACATCCATTAGTTTTAAAATATTTGCATTAATATACAACTCTTACTAACAGCTTTTGGAATTCGTATTTCTAAAGCAGCTTAATATGATCATGTTCTTGATAAGTTAAAGTCTTGTGAATACATCGTACTTTGAGATGTGCTTACCTGCTGATCAAAGTCACTTAAATTATTTTTCAGCAAACTTTTTATCTCGTCAAACGAGCACTGATGAGACTTGTGGTTATAGCCACCACACGTTATCCACACGAATAATGATGTCGAACAGGATTTAGTTTTCTTCTGCATTGAATATTCTGTCATAAACTCTCATTCATTTGTTTTCTCGATAGTAGTTATTTTAACGTGAACTCTTCATGAGTTGATAATATCTGAACTTTTACTGGACTTATTCATTTTCCTAACCTAATTCTAGACCTAACACAAAATTTAACCATAAACGTCTATCTGCATATAATAAGCAATATACATTCATCACATATGTAGGCTTATATGTAAGTGCATATGTAACATATTGAAGGTGCTATTTCAAAACTGTCCAAAGATTTGAATATTATAGGTAAGTTTGCATAAAAAAATAATTTTAAAAACCTAATCGTACAGCCAGACAGACCATAACGTGATGTTCGTTAGCCTGACAGACCATAACGTGATGTTCGTTAGCCAGACAGACCATAACGTGATGTTCGTTAGCCAGACCATAACGTGATGTTCGTTAGCCAGACATACCATAATGTGATTTTCGTTAGCCTGACAGACCATAACGTGATATTCGTTAACCAGACAGACCATAACGTAATGTTCGTTAGCCAGACAGACCAATACGTGATGTTCGTTAGCCAGACAGACCATAACGTGATGTTCGTTAGCCAGAAAGACCATAACGTGACGTTCGTTAGCCAGACAAACCATAACGTGATGTTCGGTAGCCAGACCATAACGTGATGTTCGTTAGCCAGACAGACCATAACGTGATGTTCGTTAGCCAGACAGACCATAATGTGATGTTCGTTAGCCAGACAGACCATCACGTGATGTTCGTTAGCCAGACAGACCATAACGTGATGTTCGTTAGCCAGACAGACCATATCGTGATGTTCGTTAGCCAGACAGACCATAAAGTGATGTTCGTTAGCCAGACAGACCATAACGTGATGTTCGTTAGCTAGACAGACCATAACGTGATGTTCGTTAGCCAGACAGACCATAACGTGATAAAGAATGGAAAATTTCACTCACCCATAGTGCCAGTCTCTAGACCCGTGGGTTTCCGTCAGGTGTTTGTTTCCTCACCTGATACATTACACCACCTGGTATGTCGGGAGTCGACCTACAGCGGTCTACCCAGTACAGTAAGACATTTACAGAGCTGCAGTTTCAATTTAACTAACTACATATAACGACACATCTTCCCTTATGTTTTTAAGATTAAGACGGAGTCCTATAAGAGACAGGGATTAAACCTAAACTAAAATAATAGCATGAAAACATTTTTACATTTTTACATTTTAGTATCGCATTAATTGACTGTAAATTGAGATGAATAATAAAAAAAGTTACACGGTGCAGATCTTGTTTTCGGTGATTACTAAGTACAACAGAATAACTTTAGTTCCAGTAATTTTGGTTTGGATAGATAAACCAAATATAGTTAAACTGTAATGTAAACACGTACGGACTTTATGATTATAAAGGGAGCCGGACGATTTCCCGAACGTCACTTGCCGGAACGCGATATATGACCGAATGGACATTTCTATTCGGGCAAGTGTCCATTCGGGAAATCGGCCTTTGGGCAAACGGCATTCGGACAAGTATCTTTCTGGAATTTGTCGCTGACACGATTATAAAATAACGCATTACATTTGTTGCACCTCTTGTGACGTATTACGTCACCTACTAGTTTCAATACGTAAGACACGATAAACTAACATCACTAAAATTTAGGGGCGGTACTAAACTAGTGGTCTAATGTATCAAGTTGTGGTCTTAGACAAACTTATTTAAACCTTATGGATTATTATACACAATTTAATATTTTGAAAAAAAAAACGTTTTATTTGGGTTTGTCAATTTTAGTTACATTCTAAACTGCATACAAAACACATATAATGAGATTATGTTTAGTAAAAACAATTCACAAATATTATTGATCAAGTAGTTATAGTATTCGTGAAATTAAACATGTACATCATTCATATGTTTTCCAATCAACAGAGTCACGTGTATGTAACAGATATGCTTGTCATGTGGAGCTTAATGGTCTCACACCTGTCAGTGCTGGATCAATTATTTCAACATTTTATGAAGTACGTGAATATAACGGTCAACATTTTGATGAAACAACAGGAAAATTTATATCACCACATGACGGTTTATATCTTGTCTGTGTGACTTTACATGAATGGGGAGATGAACAGATTATAGTTGGTGTGTGGGCTGGAGACGTGATGTGTACGAATATAGATGTGAAATGTGCCAACACTAGCGCTGCTGGGTCAGTGGTTGTTGACATGAAGAAAGGTCAAGAAATTTACCTAAAAGTGTCTTGCGCTGATCAAGGCGCAATGTTATCCAACTTTAGTAGTTTTACTATCTTTAGTTTATAGAAGTACAACACAAAACATGGTTGATGGTAAATTCTCAAAAAATAAAATATGTAACCACCATGTTAAACACACGCTAACAACTTATTATATGTGTTGACTACATGTCTACACAAACGCAAATGGTTTAATGTCATTTGTTTAATTATCATTACACAATTCCAAAAAAAATTAAGTTTGATCACCAACAGAGTTTCTTTCAGAAATCTCTTCCCCCACCCCCACCCCCCCCCCCCCCTGAGGAACTGAGGAAATTCTACATCCCCAACCCCCCCCCCCCCCCCCCCAACAAAAAGGGATTTATATAGAAAATAAGAAAAAAAATATATATATACTTTTACCAGTTTCCACCCCTCGTAAATTGTAGTCCAGCCCCCCCCCCCCCACGAAAATTTCAATTTCTCCCCCGCCCCCCCCCCCCTCCTTTGAAGAAAAAAGTCTGGCAGAAACATATAGGATGCCTGCTTTTATGAGCTTTATGAGCATCATTTAATTCGTGCGATTTTTGTGTTTTAAAAATAAAACCAAACCAAATGAACTATATTAAAGATAAGTTCACTTGACAACTTCAGTATGTGTTTAGCAGAGGCGTAGCGAATGGGGGGCAGGGGGGTACATATGTCCCCGGGCGCCGACCTTAGGGGGCGCCAAAATGGGTTGGAAAAACAAATTAAAATCTCATTTTAGCTGCATTGTTGCTTTATAAATATAAACAAGTTAATTAAAAAGTCTAGTGACAAGTTAAGCGCAATTTCCTTATGTACGCGTCATCACGTTAAATAGATGCGTCATCACGTTCCATGGCTGCGCCATCACGTTCAGTAGGCGCGCAATGGTTTTTAGTCATATAACTCTATTGTTTTTAAAAAAATGTGAAAAAATGATTAGGCCTAGCGAAACAAAACCTTGTAATTGTAACTCCCTATCACTCTCATATAAATTATAAATAAATTAATAGGGTACAAAATAAACGTTTGAATTAATAAGTAAATAAGTAATAAAAAAAATAAACTTATAGCAAGATCTAAAAGATAGCGAAAAATAGATATCTATATATTGCTATATAGTACTGTAGTGTATTATGTATAATGTAAGTTTAAAAATTTGTTTGTGACCAAACGAAAGGATATTTTTGAAAACTTTCTTCGGCAATATTGTTCTAAATTATGACAGCAATCGATTGGTAAATGTTTCAAGTCGCTAAGTGGTCTGGTTGCCGAGATATGGACCAAAAACTGCATTTTTTCGAGGTTTTTTGGCTTTTCTGGAAAATCCAGGAAGGAATTCCGGAATTTTTTTGGCCCACTATCATCGTCGGAACTTCGTTAACATAATTGCTTTTGGAACTAGTCCTCGATATTGCTTCGTTGAGGAGGAGATACGACTTAAAGCTGCGAACACACATCCATCCATCCATTCCCAGAAAAGACGAGTTAATAAACGCAATTCTCCAGAATGGAAATTGCGCTAAAAAAAATATGACCGGGGGGGGGGCCTGGGGGCGCAAAATTGAAAGTTTGTCCCCGGGCGCCGGGAAGGGTCGCTACGCTTCTGGTGTTTAGTATGTTAAAAATATTGATTCATGTTAGGCAATTGTAAATATATTGAACGATGCTGAAATTAACTGCTATTGTGATTAAATGTAAAAAAAAAAACAAAAAAAAACAACCTCTATTGATTTTTAATTCAGTAACAGTGTATCTATCAAATAACACCTATCCTAACACACAACAGGTCATACATAATAATAATATGTATATAATATACTAGCCATCGGTACCCGTTTCACGTGAATTATAGGCCTATATATATATGTATATATATATATATATATATATATATATATATATATATATATATATATATATATATATATATATATATATATATATATATATATATATATATATATATATATATATATATATATATGCCTATTCTTTCAAATTATTTCTTTTACCCTAAATTAGCAAGTTCCATAGTTAATAATTGTAATAGTCCAATATAATTTTCAACTTCTACAGGGGAACACTGAGCATCGAAACGAAAACCATTGCCCACTTGCTACGCTCTACACCACACACCGTTTACACACTTCTTTTCTTCGCTTGCACACCATTACAAGGGGGGGGGGCACTCTCACACACACTTTACATAAACATCTACATCACACCTCCCCCCTTAAAAAATATATTTCTTCTTCACATTTGGTGAAATGTTTTTACAGCAGTTACCCTTTTCGGGGTTATATGAAATGAGAAATGTTGAAGAAATCTATTAATTGATGATAACTGAAAGCTAGAAGCTATTCATATAATACAAATTCGAACATAATTCTAATTTTGGAATAGTAGGCCATCCAACACTGTTTTTAGCCTGCGTTTCCTTTTTGGCTTCTCTTCGTCTAACCAAGAACTAACCACAAGACAGCATTTCTAAGGTGTATCTTGCACAACTACTTAACATATACAGCAAAATATCTAATACAATTCATCAGAACATTTAACAACGAGACAAGGCATCAGCCACGACATTGTGTAGCCCCTTTATGTGCTTAATGTCCAATTGGTATTCTTGTAAAAATAAACTCCACCGTAGTAACCTCTGGTTTTTTCTGCTCATTTTGTTGAGGAATGTCAATGGGTTGTGGTCCGTTAACACTAAGATGGGTTGAGCCGAACAACTGACATAAAATTCCCATTGCTGCAACGCCAGGATTATGCCCAAACATTCTTTTTCAACCGTTGAATAATTGGCTTGGTGCTTATTAAATTTCTTCGAGAAATAACAAATCGGATGCTCCACTTCTTCTTCGTCTAACTGGGATAGGACAGCCCCGACACCGGAATCGCTGGCGTCCACAGCTATTCGGAATTGACGTTTAAAATCTGGGGTTACCAAGACTGGGGATCCAGTTAGCATGGTTTTAATCCTTACAAAGGCTTCCTCGCATTCTGGTGACCATATAAACTTGGCGGTTTTTCTGGGAAGGTTGGCTAAGGGAGCGGCTATCACTGAAAATTGTTGGACTTTGATTCTTTTGCTTTTAAACTTTCAGTTTCTTTGTTCAGTTCCTTTACTTTGTTATCTAGTTCACTTAATTGTTTTCTGATGTTTTTTTTAAATTCTGTTTTTGTTCTCCACTTAGATGTTCAATGTTTGAAGTCATGATACTTTGTTCTCTATTTAAGTGGGCTCTCCAATGTTTTATTTCCGATATGTCATCTTTAACTTTTTCTTGTGTGTCTTGTAAAGAAACTAGAGTAGTCTCAGGAGGCTCTAGTCGACTTACTATTTCTGTGATATATTTTAAAATTAATATTATTAAAAAAGGTTAAACATTTTTTAATCGAATAATTTTCTTTAAGAAATGTAAGTAGTTTTTTTTTCTATTTCAATTTTAACATGTTATACCCGCATGTTGCTGACTTAGTTTAGTGACTTCATGTGTAGATTCAAATTATGGACTGCTAGTGAAACTGAAACAGCACAAAGGGAGATCCCGCTTTTATATGTTTTTACATATCACATATTTGCCTGAACAATCGAGATACATTTTTTTATAAACTGTTTGAAAGATATATTTTCAGAGGCGTAGCGATCCTTCCCGACGCGCGGGGACAAACTTTTCGATTTGCATCCCCCCTCCTCAAACTTTCGATTTGCACCCCCCCCCCCCTCCCCTCTACATTTCGATTTGCATCCCCCCCCTCAAAATTTCGATTTCCACCCCCCTCAACCTTACAATTTATTTTTCCAACCCATGATATATTTGAAAGAACAGATACGAGTTGTCGAACCTGTTATTGGAATTATGAAAAAAGAAAGCAATAGTTGTTTGTAGTTTAAACATATGTAAAAATATTAAACTGGTATGTCCTGTATACAATTGACTGACAGATATTTTAAACTAAAAACTCTATTTTCATTACTTTCATCAGGCAGTAGATAAAAGTAAGATTTGGATAGAAGATTAAAATGACAACCCTTCTTTGACCTACATCGGGAACTTGAATCAGCGACCACGGCCTTGTTGGATGTAGCGGCAAAGATTACAAGTAAATAATTGGACAACAATAAGATTAAAATATTTACATTTTTGTATTTTATCTCCTATTGTAGTAACAAATATATTTTAACATGCTATCGTCATATATGTCATTCTAAATGTTTTGCAAGGGTGGTTATTTAAGAGATAAAATTAAATGTTTACTCCAATCATCCGCCTTCACGAACAAATATATAAACTACACCAATATGGCATTCATAAACAAGAATTAAAGCATTAATTCAGTCTAATATTAAAGTTAGGTATAATGTTCAACAGGGGAAAATAAAGAGCCTTTAGATGTCGAGGTACCAACGCCATCTTTCTCTCAGTCTACACCACAAACTACAGCAACAGAGAAACGTTACCAAAGTGAATCAACAAATCAAGTCACTAAACTAGTTCCAAACACAGATGGTATTAAACAATTTTTTAAATAAGACAACTTTTAAAAATAAAATATAAGGGTGTATACCTTAACATTTTTTTTAAAGAAAAAGTATTAATAAACAAGTACGTTGTTTTACTATTTCTAGGTTTAATATCACTTACCCAATCTCAATCTAAACTGTGTACAATACCCATTTGAACTGACCTAACTCTACTTTAGCAAGAAAGAAAATCAACTGTGACTATTGTAATACTAACCCAACCAAAATTGTTTTATGAAATCTTTATAAAATTATATTTTGATGACTAAAATATATAAACTGCATTCAATATTTAGTATTCATTTATTCGTCTGAAATAAAAACGGGGCGGAAAATATTAATAAATTAGATAATTTAAAAATTTAAAAGGATGCAAATAATAATAAATCGGATTTTACTTTATTTTTATTTTTAGTAATTGATGCACAACAACACCGAACAATTAATTATATGATAAACGTTAGTATTCGGATTACGGTTGAGGTTTGAGTTATTAGGGTTTCTTTTCAGGTTAAATTTCCTCAGCTCAACCGAATAAATAAAGTTCCGTTTCCTAGTAAATTTCGTAACTATTAAGGCTACGATTTCAGTCAAATTCCATTTAGTCAATTTTCCGTTTCCGGATAAATTTTCGTTTTCAGTTAAATTTCGTTACCGGATAAAATTATTGTTTTTATTTTTTAATCTACTTTCAGTTTACGTATCGTTCCCAGCTAAATCTTGTATTCCGGTTGAAAGTCCTGATTAAGTTAAAATGCTGGTTCTGAATAAAGTTTCGTTTCGGTTATATTTGGAGCTGATTAGGATCTAACTTTTAATATCGAACTAAATTTACGGATCCGGTTAAAGTGCGGATTCCGGATAAAGTTCCGTATATTTTTATATATTTCCGTTTTTGACTAAATTTCCTTATCCATCCAGTAAAATTTCCGTATCCGGTTTAATACCTCCCTGGATAAAAATCCCACTTCAATTATATTGTGTCTCCAGTTAAATTACTCCTTCTTCTGTCGTAGTTTCAGTATCTGGCTAAATTAACGATTCCGGTTAAAATATCGATTCTTGATACAAATCCGTTTTCAATTACATTTTCAGTTTTTAATTAAAATTAAAGTTGCTGTTTGGATTTTGGTTTTGATTTTACAGAAATAGACAAGAACCAAGACAATATTTTAATTTTTTCCTAAATTGGCCATTTATCTAGTAGATAATATTGCCACTTTATTTTATTATGCTTTACTAATGACATTTTAGAAATAAAACAACGGAGAAACAACTTTGTAACAGAACAGAGTGACGTGGTGTTAAACATTGAACAACTAACAAACAAAGTAAAAGAGATGAACGAAGATATTGAAAGTTTCAAAGAAAAAGAATCCAAATTAAAAAAAAAACACTAGAAAAACTGTCACTAAATATGAAAAAATATGAAAATAACGCACACAAAATAAATAAAGAGATGCAAATTTGCACAGTTAAAACACACATTATAACACAAGAAATGCAAAGACATTCTGATTTAATTGTTTCTCTACAAGGAGATAACAAGCAAATCATGGTCAATATATCAACCAAACTTGAAGAGGTGCAATCAGAGATAAGTTTTTATTTGGTAATTAATTGGGTACACAATTCTTCACCTACTTGTCATTTTACTGACGCCATATTTTATAACCAAGTTTATAAGAAGTAATTACATGTTAGATAAATAATATATCAACAGGAAAACCTTTAATTTAAAACTAATTTTAAGGCACAAATTTAAAAATGCAATTTATTCAGCAATAGAAATAGGCAAATTTTGTTGTTATCAATTAAAATCGTCGGCTATTTAGCACAGTGTTATGCGCAAACGCCCACAACATAGATTGATACACAGTGACAAACTGATTCAAATCTTTAACCAGATTTTGGATACTAGGGAAGAGAAAATATATCTTGTAATTATTGATATTAAGAAAAAAGTAGTAATTTTCATAAATCATTATTTAACTTTTAATACTCTATTATTAGACAAGTCTAAAACATGTTTTCGTAAATACTTTGATTTTTATAAAATAGCTTCAAAATATTTTGTATTCTAAATCTCATTAGTTGCCATACCTAATTAATGTCAGTGGATTAATTGTATGTTGTATGTAAGTATGTGATTATTTTATTTTTCTAATTTAAACTTAATTTTTATTTAGTTTGGCAATGTTAAAAATAATATTTCAAAGTTATCCAAAGATTTTTAAACAATCGGTAAGTGTGCATTGTAAAAATCTAACCATTAAAAAAACATGATTTTTATTCATAAATAGTGTTTTTTTTCGTGCATCGTGATAATGGTTTTGTAAAACATTTTGCAAAACGACAGACATGTTTACTATAGCAGTGATTGTTTTGCAGCAAATAACACACATTGTTGCTTAGATAAAATGTTAAAAATTTCCATGGGCTCTACATTGAATATATACATAGCGGGCGGCCAGACGCTTTGCAAAAAAGTCATATAGTAAAAAGCTTGCCTTGATCGCCATAGTGTAATATTCTTAAGCATTTGCTATCTAAATGCGTGAAAATAAACCTGGAGTGATCTCCCCTAAACTTTCTCGAATATTCTAATATAACACTACGTGGGATGGTAACTTGTAATATAGAAATGATTTTTGTTACATGAAATGTTTCTTCCAGATTTTTCTCTCGGGGGGAGGGGGGGGGGGGGCTGTAATTTTTGGAGGAGCGGACATTGTTAAAAATAAACATTTTCTATATAAATTCCATTTCCTTCAGGGGAGGGGGAGGGGGGTGGGGGTGGAGACATGCCTTGAAACAATTGACATTCTCTAAAAATTATGATTTAATCTACCAGTATGTGTATACAGAGGCGTCGCGAGGCGGAGGTGGAAGTGCGAACCTCATGTGGTGACACCAAATAGACTTAAAACAAATGTTGAAAGAAAGTTTAGTTTCATAATGGAAACACTTCTAGACTGTATATACCTCAGCTGTTTAGTGTTGTGTTCAGATAAAAACTTGTAATTACAGATGAGTTGAAGAATGGTGTACGCAAGTATTTAGAAAATTTAAATTTTATTTTGACTTACCTTTAATTGTAATTTAGTAATGCTGGTTGATACGTCGGCCATTATATTAGTAATATCTGTGTGAACTTGCATTACTTTATTTCGTTTGTGTAGGTTGTTTTTATATTGTTTTTTTTATCTAGAGACAGTTTCTCTAGTGTTTTGTTTCTGCTTTTTACTTAATTGTTCAATTCTTGTTGTGCTGTCGCTCTGTTATGTTAGCATGTGTTCTCTCCATTGTTTCAATTCTGACACCTCATCTTTTGTTTCCTTCCTTGAAGAGAAACTGTAGCTTTCTCAACAAGTTTCACTCGATTTGACAAATCGGAGTTGATTAAGATTGATTCTAAGTATAGATATAGTTTACATGGTTTAAACACATTACAAAAACAAAATGAGAGATGCTTCCACAGACTAGCAACAACAAAATAGTTATTAAACTAGTGTATTATAACAACTGTTTTAAATTAAACTAGTGTATTATAACAACTGTTTTAAATTAAACTATTGTATTATAACAACTCTTTTAAATTAAACTAGTTATTATAGCAACTCTTTTAAATTAAACTAGTGTATTATAACAACTCTTTTAAAATAAACTAGTGTATTATAACAACTGTTTTAAATGTAAACAGAAAATAACCTTTTAGGCGACAATATTTACAACACCTATTAAGCTAATATTTGTTCTTAATTTCAGAAACCCCTCTCATCAGTTTGAGATTCCTTGGTGTCTGTTACACCAGCTTTCTTGTGTTGTAAAACTATCTTGGTAGACTGCATGTTGCATTCTGTAAAAAATGTTTGGTCTAACAATGAGTTATTTGAAACTTATAAAAAAAAGTCTTTCATTGGTAGGAATCTATAATTTAATTTAGAAAAAAGCTCTAAAACAAATATGCTTTTATCTTGACCGAAAGTCACTCTCAGTTTAAACGTTGATTTGGTTTACTACATGCTTAATCAATCTAAAGTAAATATATTAAACAATATTTGTTTAAAAAAACCTCTTGCTTTGTGTATGCTCAACATTAAATAAACACTATTCTCTAAAGTAATAGCTAAATTCCATACCTAAATTTTCTGTTATATGTTACACAATTTATATTTCAAAACTGAGAGTAAAGAACTAAAACCAAAAGTTGAACATAGCACTAGAGCAGCCAATCTAACAGCAAGATACACATGTTCAGTTTACCAGCTATAATATCTAGATGTTTTATCAATATAGCATTCGCGGATGTTACCATGGAAACTACATCTTTAAATGCCATATCATTGTCAGACGTTTTATCCATCCAGTTCCTTGTTTTTATTTTGATCTAATTAATTAGAGCAAACAAATTACTAGAAAATAGTTTCCAAATCTTGATACATTATTAGTTTAGTTAATATAAATGCTCATTGTTAGCAAAGGCATAAACCATACAAGAAAATATAAATATTTTTAAATACAGGTTAATAAATTCACATATATTCGATTTTAAGTATATAAGTGCATTAGAAACATATACGTTAGACTAACATGTATGACAGAATCACTTAAATTACTTTGTACATGAACATGCATGTTCTCTAACTGTTCCAACAAAATGTTCAAAGATTCAAGGATGGGGTTGTACTCAGACATCTACATGTAAGTGATAGATAGGCTAAATAAATGTTCATTTGAAAGTAACATCTACATGTGTTTTATAAAGTGACACCTCTACATTGTTTACCGATAAAGTGATCATAAATGCATGTGACTCTTAATAACATACAGTGGCGTAGTTAGTGTAGGGCGGGTGGGGAGGCTGCCGACCTTAATGGGGCGTCAAATCGCGTAGAAAACATTGATAGCTGAGGTATTGAATAGTCTAAGTGTGGCTAAAAAAAAGTAGTGACTGGTTAAAAGCGCCACCAACCTTTTCAAATGGTGCTGCGGTGGGGGGGGGGGGGGGATTTTTAACAAACGCCACAAAAAAAAAGTGGGTAGGGGCACACAATTAAGAGTTCGCATCGGGCCGGCTTGGGACGCTGCGCCTCTGATAACATAATTATAAATGCAGATGCAATAGTCCCAGTGAAGTATTTCAACTGCGAGACACAAATGTTACGTAATTTCGCATTTTAGCGCCTCGATATATGACATATCGTGGTGCAGAGTTTCTTCCAGGCATCTCTTCGGGGGGGCAAAGCCCCCCCGAAAATTTTTTACCGCCCCCCCCCCCGAACGAAATGAAATTTAGATAATTTATATAGAAAATATATACTTTTAGCAGTGTCCGCCCCCCCGAAGAAAGTCTACCGCCCCCCTGAAAATTTCAAGTGCCCCCCCGGAGAAAAAAGTCTGGAAGAAACACTGTCGTGGTGCAATTTCGCATTTAAACTTCACACGCGTTAGTCGATGTGTAAATAATTAAAACGTTGTGTATGAGATCTACAATTGTTAACTTACCTTTAGATAGAATGTTGTTTTGATGAAACAGATTTCTTGTTGTGGCTGATCTACACGTAATTAAATCATCACTACAAGAAAGATAACTCTAATAATGACAACGCGTTTCGGGAAAGCCCACTATTATTTAAAGGAGGAAGTTCTGCAACTCTACACAATTCTAGTCCTTTGATTCCTCACAACAAAAATACGCCTACTTAAGGTACTGCTAATCTTTAATCTATTTCATCTATTTTTAAAATAGCATTTCCTTTTAATCTAACCAAAAAAACTTAAAATAATGAATTTTAAACTAAATCAAAAGCTCTTCTACTTTAATTCTTACTAAGCTATACTATTCTTATTATTTTTTAAAGTATAAAGCTTGATAATAATTTCCAGAAAAATATATTTATTAATAGAAAAGAATGTAGGTCGTTTTATTTAAAACGTATTTTATTACTGTATAATTAGGCAATTCATAGATAAATATTAAATAGTTCATCACAACGCTGGATAGATAATGAAAGTGAAAATCGGAAATACCCAAGTGTATAATTTTAGCAAAGTTTAGTAGTTAAAGGATTTAACTATGACGAATGAGCGCAGTGGATTTTGTTATAAAAAATACGTTATGTTAACAATACTTCCACTATCAGATCCTATTCCAGGATACTTTACGATATATTCATCTACATATTGACGGACATTAATAACATGTGCACTGGACTTACTATTCTAATGAAAACAAATAGACTACATATTATCATAAAATGATCTAAATGAAACGACTTTAGATCAGTGCTTCTTCCGGCTTTCTTCTCCAGGGGAGAGAGGGTGGCACTTAATTTTTTTTTGGGTGGAGGTGAGGGAGGAGAACTAAAATTCCAAGGGGTGGGAGGGGGGGGGGCGCCTACTGTTAAAAGTATATATTTTCGATGTTTCGTTTGGGGGCGGTAGATTATCATAGGGGGGGGGGGGTAGCCTAGAAGAAATACTGCTTTAGTTTTACTTAGTGATGATGACAGAGTTAATATATTTTTTTTAATTTAGTGTTATTAACATTTAGATGCCTTCAAGAATTCACGTCAAGTTTGTTACAGAGCGCAAGAAATATTTGGAAGAACAGATAAAAGTTCTGGAACCTGTTTTGGGAAATATGAAAAATGTAAGTCATTACAAACTAAAAATTCTTCGTTATACTTAAAATGTAAAGATCATTTTATTCACGATAAAGTAGGTTTAGAGTTTTTCGAAGTGCATGTGTTAAAAAACACAGAACAACCACACGTGTTTAGGAATAAAGCTCTGCCACACGTGGCAACTTGAAAATATTGTTGTTGTTTGCTTTAACCAGGTTGTTGCAAAAAGTAAGGCGTGGCTAGAAGAAAAAACTGACCAATCATCTGTAAGCTACATCGAGCTATCACAAGAACTGGACACAGCAGCCACGGCCTTGTTGGATGTGACGTCACATATTTCAAGTCAATACTCCAATAGTTTTTATAATTTAAAATCTCATAGCCGCCTATGGTCAGTGGCGTAGCGAGGTCGGGTTTAACCCGGTGCGGCACTTAATGGTGTCACCCCCCAGAGTAGTATCGACCCTTCCCGGGGACAAACTTTCGATTTGCACCCCCCCCCCCCCATCAAACTTTCAATTTGCAACCCCCCCCCCCCTCAAACATTCGATTTGTACCCCCGCTCGAGTTTTCCTCTATATATTTTGCTATTTTTTGCCTTGGTGTCACCCCCCTAAATGGTGTCACCCGGTGCAGTCCGCACACCCCGCCCGCATCCCCTCCCCCTCGCTACGCCTCTGCCTATGGTAATGTAGTCTCTGTGTTCAGTAATGAAGTGTTGGAACTATTTGTGTTTGCTTAAATTTGGATGATAATCAAAGTTTTTTTTCATCAGAACATTACATGGTTGGCGTTATAGTTTAAACTAGCTAAACCAGTAAAACTTATTGTGTGTACTATAGTATCCTTGTTCAATTAAACTGCAATTAAAATAAAATTATAAATCCGATTCCACCAGACGAGGACAACATGGATGTCAACAAACCAACGCCATCTTTACCACAGCCTGACACACAGACAACAGCAACATTTCTAACAGTAGAATCAACAAGACAACTCAAGACACAAGTCACACATACAGCGGGTATAGTATAGTATGCTTTGGTGTAACACGTTAAATAGCATCATCATATACTCGATATAATTTTAAAATATGTACATGTATTGTATTTTGTAAAAAAATGTACGATTGATACCTTGGTTTTGTTTAATTTTTAACACACTTTTTTTTCAAGATTTCGGTATTTTAAATTTCAAACTTATATTTGTGACTATTTTCAGTTGAAGAACATCAGAACATTACATGGTTGGCGTTATAGTTTAAACTAGCTAAACCAGTAAAACTTATTGTGTGTACTATAGTATCCTTGTTCAATTAAACTGCAATTAAAATAAAATTATAAATCCGATTCCACCAGACGAGGACAACATGGATGTCAACAAACCAACGCCATCTTTACCACAGCCTGACACACAGAAAACAGCAACATTTCTAACAGTAGAATCAACAAGACAACTCAAGACACAAGTCACACATACAGCGGGTATAGTATAGTATGCTTTGGTGTAACACGTTAAATAGCATCATCATATACTCGATATAATTTTAAAATATGTACATGTATTGTATTTTGTAAAAAAATGTACGATTGATACCTTGGTTTTGTTTAATTTTTAACACACTTTTTTTTCGGTATTTTAAATTCCAAACTTATATTTGTGACTATTTTCAGTTGAAGAACATCCTGACCTAGAGTGTAGACTCGCCTATATTGAAACAACACTATCTTCACTACAGGACACACAACACAAGTCTACAGATGACATATCAGAAATAAAACAATGGAGAGACAACTTTGTAACAGAACAGAGTAACATGGGGGTAAACATTGAACAACTGACTAAAAAACAAAAGCAGAATTTTAAAAACCTCAGAAAACAAATGAGTGAACAAGATAACAAAGTAAAGGAGCTGAAAAAAGAAATTGAAAGTTTAAAAGAAAAAGAATCCAAGTCAAACAAAACACTAGATAAACTTTTTAGAGATATGAAGGAATATGAGAATAGCGTATACAAAATAAATAAAGAAATGCAAGATCACACAGACAAAACAGACAGTATAACTCAAGAAATTAAAACACATTCTGATAAGATGTCTAACCTACAAGAAGAGCTTTCTAAAAATATGCTGAATACATCAACTCAATTAGAAAAGGTAAAATTGCGAATTATCTGTGTACACAATTTTACACATACTGGCCACATAACTTATTTCACATTTTATAACCTGGTTAAATCAAAAGACAACTTATTAACTGTATCAACAGTTATACCTTTAATACAATACCAATTTTAAGACACATGTTTTTGATAATTATAATGCATAGTAAAAATAATTAAAATTGTAATGCTTTTATTCAATTTTCTGCTCTTTAGTACATTTTAATAAACAAGCTACTGCACCAAAGATTGATGCCCATTGAAAAATTGATTCAAATCTTTAACCAGAAGTTGGAAACAAGGGAAAAAAGGATAACAAAGGTATAGGGCTACGTGTAGTAATTTGATAAAAATAAACTATGACGTTGATAATTGTGCATTAATTTTTAACACTATGTTAGCTGACCATTTAATACCATGTTTTCTAAATTAAGCGAAACATTTAAGCCTTTATAATTATAAAATAATCCCTGTTTTAAATTATGTTCTATTCTTACAAGCTGACATACCCTGTTAAAATCAGCGCAGTGATGTTATGTTCTACGTAACTATGTGATATTTTCAATCACTTTATAAAATCTTTTTTAGCTGGAAAATATTGAAGATGCTATTTCAAAATTGTCCAAAGATTTGAATCTAATAGGTAAGTTTGTCTTACATTTTTTATTCCAAATCATACAGCTAGACAGACCATATCGTGATGTTCGTTAGCTAGACAGACCATATCGTGATGTTCGTTAGCCAGACAGACCATATCGTGATGTTCGTTAGCCAGAACATAATGTGATGTTCGTTAGCCAGACAGACCATAACGTGATGTTCGTTAGCCAGACAGTGATTTATAACGTGAACACATACGTTATGTATGATTATAACATAACACAAATAACTATTGCTGTACTTTAGTGACGTATTACGTCACCTACTACACTCGTAGTTTTAATACGTAGGACACGATAAACTATCACCACTAACGCTGAGGACCGTACTAAACTAGTGGTCTAGTGTTTCATTCTGTGGTCTTAGACTTAATTATGTAAACATTATGGATTATTATACACAGTTCATTTTTTTTAAAAAACAATTGTTTTATTTGGGTTAGCCATTTTTACTTACATTCTGAACTGCATGCAAAACACATATACTGAGATTATGTTTAGTTTTAATTACATAAAATATTTAAATAACAATTCACAAACATATGAATCTAATAGTCAGAGCATGTGTGGAATTAAACATGTACATCATAAATGTTTTCTAATCAACAGAGTCACGTGTATGTAACAGATATGCTTGTCATGCACAGGTTGCTAATCCCACACCTGTCAGTGCTGGATCAATTATTTCAACATTTAAAGAAGTACGTGAATATAACGGTCAACATTTTAATCAAACAACAGGAAAATTTGTATCACCACATGATGGTTTATATCTTGTTTGTGTAACTCTACATGAATGGGAAGATAAGCAGATTGGAGTTGCTGTGTGGGCTGGAGGCAGGTGCTGTACGGCTATAGAAGTGAAATATGCCAACACTAGCGCTGCTGGGTCAGTGGTTGTTGACATGAAGAAAGGTCAAGTAATTTACCTTGAAGTGTTTCACGCAGATCAAGACGCAGCTTTATCCTGGCGCAGTAGTTTTACTATCGTTAGTTTATAGAAGTACAACACAAAACATGGTGGATGGTAATTTTTAAAACAATCAAATATGTAACCACCATGTTAAACACACGCTAACAACTTACTAAGTGGGTAGACTGTATGTCTACAAACACTTGAATCATTTACATGAAATTTGTTTAGTTATCATTTTGTTTGTATTGATTTAATATGATCACTAATTATGTTTTGTACTTGACCAACGTTATAGAATATAAGTATGTACCATTTCCTTCACTGTATAGGAGCACAACCGTATTTTGAATACGTTTGGTTTGTAAAAAAACAACATATTTACCTTGTTAACAGAACCCTTGAGACAAACCAAATGAACTTCCACAAAGACGAATGTTAAAATATGTTCACTGTACATCATCAATATGTGCCCTATGTATCGAAAGTAGGCTATTAATCCAAGTTAGTCATTTGTAAAATAAAAATTACAATTATTTTTATTTTACTACAAGTATCTGTAATTGTGAACACTACATTCGTTCAATAAATAAATTACAGCTTATCCGTGTTAAAAACATGTTTTCCTTTATTTAGTAACACTGTGTCTTTAAATTAACAAACATCTACACAAACAAAAATCGTTACATCTATTAAACTAAAATAATTATTTATATAATTATTTATATAAACATGTGTATGTGTAATAAAATGTGTAACACATAATTGCTACAAGAAACATCGAACGCGAAATTAGAAGCACATGATCCATTATCTTTATATAAATTTAGTTGAATACATTCTAACCTTAAAAAAGTCGTTATTTTTATTTGACACATTAGACTTACAAAATCATTTACTGTTGAAATACATCATATATATGATGTATATTTGAGTCAATTATATATTTTATATATGAGAGATTTAAGTGTTGAGTGCTGTACCAGTAGACTGCTTATAACTTCTGTAACAGATTAGTCTTGAGGAGTAGAATAAAACAGGTTAGTTTATTAAATCTACATGATAATGTTAAACATTGTATTATTTCTACATCATTTCAAATATAAGGTGTATAAGAAACATAACCAGAGTGAGAAATTCTTGATCTCTTCCTTTTGCACTTTCATAGGGTACTGTTGCATCAACTCGAGGAATACGATTAAAACTCCATGAAATATGCTGAAATGTATTAAAGTAACTCTTTCAAAATGCCATAATGTTAAAAAAACTGTTTTTTTATTAGTTAGACATTACGATCATTTTTGTTATTCAAATCTCAACTTATAAATTTTATTTCTGATAATTAACACAAAAAAACCACTCGCCCACTCATTTATTTATTTGATATGGCCTAAGCCCAAAGTACAGATGGACTGACCCCACACGGCCAACCAAGATCAGATGTTTTACCGTATATGTGACCAAATATCTGACAGACCGACAACGAGATAGGAGATCATAAAGACTGGCAATAAAATTTGGTATATTCGATACTCTATACTTGGTGCTAGTGTTTGACATAACTTGTAGATGTGTCTTTTACTAGTCTTTGAACGATACATCAAACCGCGGACCTAGAACAGACTATGTTATTAATTATGCCTTTTACGTATACAACTCTGTAGGCTTAGTTGTTACAAGTATACCACCTCACATGCCAGATTTTTTTTTTATTTACCTTGAAGTGTATCACGCAGATCAAGGCGCAGCGTTATCCCTCTACAGTAGTTTTACTATCGTTAGTTTATAGAAGGGCAACACAAAACATGGTGGATGGTAAATTCTCAAAACAATAAAACATGTAACCAACATGTTAAGCACACGCTAACAACTTACTACATGTCCATAAACATTTAATGGGTTGTATGTTTTTTTTTAGTCATCATTACACAGTTCAAACTAATTCAATGTTATCACCAATTAATATGTTGTACGTGACCACAATAAACATATCTTTCTTCTTCTTCGTTCTTAATTTATAGTGTTGGGAGGGATCGAGCCTTATCTGCCAGAGGGTTTGAACTCGAGACTTTTTTCGAATTTATCAACCATGAGCTTTTCCGACTCGACCATGCTTCCATCACAATTAAGGATTACGTGTCAATGGGTTAAGCGCCATTGAGGCCATTGACTCCGATTTCAGCCTGCTTTTCTTTTTGGATTTGCTTCCATAGCTTCCTATATATATATATATATATATATATATATATATATATATATATATATATATATATATATATATATATATATATATTTAGCATGTTGGACCGCCTATGTTTCACAAGCATAATAAAAGCAAGAAACATTAGGCAGGCAGAAAGTTACTTCACGTGTAATATAAACATCAGATTAAAGAAATAATAAGCCTTTTAAAAAAGTTAAAACAACTTAAAATATAAAGACATACAGTAAATAAGGAAATGCATTGTGTGTGGAGAGGGGGGTCTTGGTTTAATTAGGGATTTTTAAAAAAAATGCTTAGTTTATTTAGTTGGGTTAAGGTTTAGTGAAGAATGTAATTTTTACGTAACTTAAACAAGGCTACTCGAGTTTTATTTATTTTTTTAAATGAGAAATAAACCACTATAGCTTACGTGTTTTCGCACATCAAACAACTCTCAAGACCGTTAAGAAGATGATTCGCGTTAAAATGTACGTCTGTTCGCCACAGTTTAAAAAAAAAACAAGATCTTATTCTATATTCCAATATAGTCGATCAATAAATAGCCGTTGCTACTAGTCTGTTTTTGTCTTCTGTTCTTTGTCTAGTCGTGTTAATTAAGTTAAGAGTGATTGCTTTATTTGTTGTGGCTGTTTGATTGCTGGTTTTTCATATGTTCGTAAGAGTTTGGTTTGCTTTCTGTACTTGTATATAATCTTGATACAAAACAAGTCTACAGCTATCTAATTACTATCAGTGAAGTAACCTGGGCCTGTCTACTTTAGTGTAGGCTACCCATGTGTCTAGTTGATGTAGAGGGGCAGCGGGTGGGGTCGTCCGCTGCCGACAGGAGGGAAGCACAAAAAGCTGTAAATGTCAATTTTAATAAGCTGAAGTTTTGAATTATAAAAAAATAAAGTTAAGAAATTAAACGAGTGCACTTCTTTATTCAAATGCTTTCTACATTGATTGGGTAAATGTGAAGTACACTCTTAAGAACCAGAGACCTGGAAAGATCGTTTACCATCAAGATGGGAGGGGGGTGTGTGCAATTCTGTCGGCTTAAATCGGAATGATTTATCCTGGACTGGTAGATGAATGTTATAATATTTAGAAAAGAAACCAAGCGTATTGTGTAACGATAAAATAAGATAAAAGTGGTAGGGGTGCGTCGCTTCTTTGCCAAGATAAATGGGGATGATTTACATCGGAATGGTAAGTAGATAAATCATTATAATTCTTAGAATAAAAACCAATTGTATTAACGCGTAATATACGATTTTACTTGCCAGTTTTGTTAGAAAATCACACAACTAGTTCATTGTAGTTAAAAGCTACTGTTCTCTCAACTTCATCTTTTACTTTTACCCATCTTGCCTGGAAACATGGAATTAACTTGAAATAAATATCATGGATTCGTACGTCGCTACCTAAACAGTAAAATAGCATACTCAGTGCCTTAGTTGTTGCTACCCAATGTTTCTGCTTTTGGTAGAAGGCCTATGTGCTTTTTCGGTACGTTCTACTGCTCTGATACTAGAATAATAGTGCTATTGATACCCAATGACAGTGCTGTAGCTACAATGTTGTGGGTCCTCAATACTGAATCAATGGGTACTGAGTGCTAAAGTCATGTGTACTGAGTAATTGGTGTCACTGTTGTGGGTACTCAGAGCTGGGGCTGTTGGTAATCGATAACATTGTTATAAGTACTCAGCTGTGGGTGCTCAGTATCACTGCTGTGGGTTAGCGTTAGGAATTTACCCTGGAATGGTAAGTAGATGACTCTTATAACATTTAGAAAAGAAACCAAGCGTATTGTGTAACGATAAAATAAATAAAAAAGTGGGTACTCAACAGCACTGGAATGGGTATTTTTGTCAGTGTTTATCATGAGATGTACGCATAGTGTACGTGTTATTATTTTCAAGGTCACTGTGAAGACCTTTCTTTGGTGGTATCCAGGGTAGTGGTCCACCACCTCACTTCCGGTTGTCGTATTTAGTTTTTATATTCTTCTCATATTTTACAATGCTATTTCAAAGCTAAATTCGTGATATTGTACGCAGCAGTATGATCACATTATTTGAGCATCGTTCTCTTCATATACCGAGGTCAATGAAACAGGTGAACTCTACCTCACCCGCACCATGGACCGTAAAGTATAAAGGAGAAGACTATATTAACATCCTTCACTTATTTATAGCTTGAATCAACGACAGCTAGGCGAGGCATCACTTTCATCTATACTTGCTTGGCACCCAAGTACAATTGTATGTCTTGTTGACGGATGTCGCAAAAACGCGACAAAGCGTTATCCGAAGAAAGCTTCTTAAATTATTCTAATACGAGATAAATGGCCCGTTGAGGAAAGATACAACGGGAGCTAGGTTGTAGCGTTGTCTCTTTTCTCTAAACTAAAACCAAAAACCAAAATCACCACCTTAACTTCAAATTGAACCGAAGACGAAAACTTACATTGAAAGCGGATTTTAATCTAGAATCGGCATTTTAATCGGATTTAAGCTTAATCTACACGTAGCTACCGCACATTGATACTAAATATAGTCGTAACCATACCCTAAACCGTGCACCTAATCTAAATCATGACAAAAGTCGCATTTAGAGTTTCCTTCAGGCGACTCTACTTGCGGGTGGGGGATCCGCCCCACCCACCCCCCACATACACCCCCACACACTCAAAGCACGTCTACTGCCCAATTCAACGAAAGATAATTATATACTTTTTCCAGTGTCAGCCCCCTCCCAGATAAACCACAAATTTAAAATAAAAATATTATCTCATTTGAATATTATCATAAGGGTTCATTCTCGCTATGAGCTTATAGCTAAATTCATACACTGAAGAGGTAACGGCGTGACTATGCGATAGATAAAAAGTTCTGCTAAATCGAAAGTCTCAAGATAGAATATGGAGCCAGCAAGTTCAGCGTTCCTGAGTCCGCTTAGCTTTAATGTCCACTTAACTCAATAACTAAAACTTCTTTTCATATGCAGAGGTCACGAAACACAAGAACTCCACTTCGTCTGCCTAACGGATCGCTAGAATTATTTACTTTATACACTGAAGATATCATGACTGATTTATAACTCTACCTAGCATTACTTTTACTTCATATAATATTAAGACTGTATATTTGTAATATTATTAAGTCCTTAATAAGAAATAATTAAAAATGGATGCAGTAAAACTAATTTGACAATCATAAATATTACTCTATACTTAACACATATAAATTTATTTTGCAAATCTAACATTTTTGTTTGCATTGGAAATATATTTTTTATTGTACACGGTGAGCCTAATAAATTTAGTTCTAATTTTAAATTGGTTAATATCTATTGCTGTCCCATGTGTTGTAGAAAAACCAAGTTATAGTGGTATCGCTTTTAGCAATAGTTTGTGTATGAAACATTTCTTCACTATAGACAGATAATATGCAAACATCTCAAAACTATCTCGAAGTATAATGTCAATTTCTTTTCTCTCAAATATGTGCCGAGCACTACATTAACTAACACATAATTTCAGGAAGGTGGGTGGAATTCTTGGTTGTGAAAACTTGAAATGATCAGCGTGAAGAGAACACTTATCATTTTCATATTAATGGTTCGTCATTAACATG